CTCTAGACATTCATTTCCATGATTAAAGTAGGTTGATCCGAGCTGATCTGGTTGAGTTACGCTCACACAAGATTACATCGGTTGAGCTAAATCGAGCGTGCTCTATGTCCAGAGTGATGTAATCTCTCTTTGACCGCAGCTCAGTCAAATCAGCTCGGATCAACCTACTTTAATCATGGAAATGAATGTCTAGAGCAGGGGCATCGTTCCCATGCAGTGGATCTCGCAACAATGATGATTGGATAAAAGTGGCCGTTAGATAGCAATACATGCCTGTTCCTAGATGATCCATAAAGTAATTATACATTGACCCTTTCATTCATGCAAACGTAGCTGTGTTACACAACACGACCCTCTGCATCTTTTGCTCTGCCAGGGTCCACCTGCTTGACAATGAACAAAGACCACTCTTCTTATAGCATCACACTTACAAACATAAAGGTGCCTGTATCTCCAAACTTTACAATGAAACGTGGGGTTTTGAATAGAGCAATGTGCTCGGCTTGGCCAACAGTACCTTGTGTGAAAGTTTCACGTTCAATGTCGCAACTAGCCCAAAAAATATTTTTTGGTCGTCGTCGAAAGAGGTTGAGCCCCGGACCCAGTTTGGCTGGTGGCGACATTGCGAAATCTGGGATTGGCCACGATCGACTTCATAGTTTGACACAAGATCGCTTTCACCCCGCCGAGCAACATGGTTCTATTAAAGACCCCACGCTTCATTGTGAAGTTTGGAGATACAGGCACCTTTATGTTTTACATATACTGTAAGCGTGATGCTATATGAAAAGAGGTCTTTGTTCGTTGTCATGTAGTATGACTATGGATGGCCGAAGATGCAGAGGGGCGTGTTTGTGTAACCCAGCAGTTTTGCATGAATGGAAGGGACAATGGATGATACTTTATACACTATTTGGTAACAGCTCATTGCCAGCTAATAGCGACTTCCTCCCAATCGGCACTGTTGTCGAATCCAATACATGTGAACGATGCTCCGGCTCCGGCTCATCACTTCCATCCTTCAACTTCCTTAATCCGAGAGGATTTGACTGAACAACGCTCAAACACAGAAGTATCATCCAATCTAAGAAAGATTAAATTGATTGATTATATGTAAACTGCTACTTGATAGCTCATTCAACTCATTTCCCATTGTTACCCAACCCAATGGATACGAACGATTGTCCTGCTCCAGCCCAGCATCACCATCATTGAACTTTCTTGATCCGAGAGGATTTTTTGGTTGAGTTACGCTCAAACACAAAACATCATCCAATTTCACAAAAATCATTTTGCAAAGTTATTTGTAAACTGCCACTTGATAGCCCACACCTCCCATTCACCTTTGTTGTCCAATCCAATGCATACGAACAATTGTCTTGCTCCAGCCCATCATTCCCATCATTGAACTTTCTTGATCCGAGGGGATTTGACTGAACAATGCTCAAACAAAGAAACATCATTCAACATCAAATCCAGCCTACTTAATTTCCAGCTCTTCCCTCTTCCTTCCATTCTCAACTGTTGCCCCATCCACCGCATGTGAACGATTGTCCTGCTTCAACCCATCATGTCAATCCTACAACTGCATTGATCCGATTGTCTTCGACTGAATGGCAACTCCATGGGGTGTACACAGCCTTCTTGTCACTCTACTACTACAACGCACTCGCTCTCTTGCACACTCTTCTACCACACCAATCGAAACAGCATTCATTCCAGCAGTTGCTATTAGCGAGGTCTTTACTCCATTGTCTTGTGCAGCGTTCACAATCCTGCCACTCTACTGCAACACACGCGCTCTTGCACACTCCTCTGCCACAAACAAACGTAACAGCAATTGCGATCAGGAAGATCTTTATCCATTGTCTCAAGTTACTTGCAGCAACTTGACTTGTGGCCTTTGTCACGTGAATAGCAGATAGCCATTGTATGGAAGCAGCTTTATTTATGAGCAGCAACTTGCTTTGATGCATACTGATACCAATGGACGATGCCATATCAGCTATCAACGACGCTCTTTGCCTGGTTGAACAGCATGGAAAACGACCAAGAAAGTGATAGATCAGCAACAGGATGGAAAGGGAAGCATATCAACAGCGATCACATGGCTCTTTCTTATTGGACTTGCAATGGTTATGGATGGATGGATGCAATCAAGTGCAGTGATGGCGAAACATGGGATGTCGCTTTGGTTGCTTGTCGCGTTGTGAACAGGAACGATGTATCATATCACGTGGATACGGGTGAGGGTGATGATGGATTGGATGGCATTGAGGAAGGTGTTGTACAGCCATGGAAGATACGGAGTACCCGATTCAATGCGTGCAGCAGCTATTTTGCAATCACGGATGAAGGATATTTATGACGGCAGCGACCAAGGATACAATAACACAATTATCCCTGTTACCTTTACGAGGTTCACCCGTACCTTATCCAACAATTATCAATGCTGTTCCTTTATCATATTTTTTACTTGATAAACATCCTCATTGCCATATGCTATTCTTCGACTTTTTCCTTGAATGAATTTGGATTCAATGTGATGACTCGAGTATCATACTATCAGCTCATATGGGCAAGATGTGGATCACTTACATGGTGTCAATAATGTAGACACATGTCCCCATTGTATGGCGGAGTGGGTAACGAAAAAAAAACGTGTAGCTAGAGTGGACTGTGCTGGTGTGTGTAATCGTGAGTGAGTGAGTGAGTGTGATTGATAAAGTTGAATGAGTACGCGAGACTCAATAGGTGTTCTGGACATTTATGTGATAGAACGAAGAATCATAAATCTAATCTGAGCTACAGCTATACCCAGCACTTAGGGATGTAGTGCCTGAACCACTACATGGACTATGCTTGTTGTAGCGAAGGACACGCAAATAAGGCAGACATTCGATTCACATGTGGCAGGAATGATACGATGCAAGCGTTCGCGGCTGGAAAGACGATGATGAAGTAATCTCCAAAGGAGTGTAGCGATAATCTTTGCGTTTGAAGGAGTCAACGGTAAGACCTGATTTGGTGGTTGGATCGATGAGGCGATAATAGTGGGATTGAATGTCAAGGGGAATGGGATTAGGGGGAGGGAATCAAGGTGTTTCATAAATGGCTTGATACGCCGATCACCATCACGTGCAGTAGCTCGATGATATCGTGCCACATTGTAGCTGTGCTAGGGACGTTCTTGAGGATTGCGGGCACGTTGAAAAGCGAGTTGTTCATAATCCGCCTCATGTTTCCTATTGCGCGTTCTACTTGGCCTTGACGCTCAGGTCTCCAAGCTGATCCAGTTGTAATACGCATGCCAGGCACCTTAGCGACTTCCACATTCAATTGCATCCATATCAGAAACGATTATCTTAGGGACACCACGTCGACAATATAAATAAGGTGGTTCCAGCGGCTGTCTTGTTTGGCATGGCTTTAACTTCGATCCATCCCGAAAAGGTGTCGATACCAATAAGTACTGCGTTGATCCTCCTTTTGCGATACCGGCATGGTAAAATAATCAATCCAGCTTGATCACATCCACCATCCACAAGTCCAATGGCTGTGTCGTGTCCCTGAATAATCACGTGTACCCATCATCCAGACTCAGCTCGTGTATGGTGATATTCTAAGTTACTATCCAATCTTAATTTCCTTGTCCTTCAGAATAAACTTCCCTATGCCAAGTACCACTTACTCATATCATGTCTCCTATCACATACATACACCGTCCACGAGTCCATTGATTGAAGGGCTTTGAGATTGCTGCTGTTGCGCTTCCTTTTCCATTCGCTTATTGGAAGTGATGTTGACAAAGAACCATGCATGGCGGAAGTTGATGATCGTATCAATGGCTGCCATATCATCCGGACTGGATATGACATAGCACGGCTCCAGCTAAATGATCAACATTGTTAATCTCCATCTCTTGATCAATAGATCCATCCACTCTCTTTTGTACCTTGATAATAGGGTGAATCGTGATACAAAATCATCCGTGGTAGTGTATTGGAGAATAGTGATGCGTGTGTTGGTGAATGAAGGGATGATCATGGTCAACGCGTATGGCGCACACTTGTTGTGTAATAGATAAAGCTGATGCATATTATCACCAACATGCTGTAGTGCAACACCAGCAAAACACCTCTTGAGAATGGCTCCTCAATGTCACAACGCTTGACCAGGAACTCGAGCATAAATACAAGCGTTCATTGTTCGTTGCATAGCTCGTGAAGAATGAGTGTCGACAGTGCCAGGTACGTGGTGTCATCGTTGGAGAGCAAATCGTAGCGAAGAAGTTGTTGAACGTGTCATTGCCAAGTCAACGGAGATGCAGTTGAAGAAGAAGAAGCAGCGTAAACGTGGAAAAGGATACGAATTAGGCTGTCCAACTTGAAAGTAGCTACCTGTTACATACCTCGAGGTAGGCCCATCCTTCCATCGGATCCATGTAGTATCCAACTTAGACCACGTTCATGTTTAAGCCTACAGCTAAATAAAACAAGATCCGTGATACATGAACTTGAATGAATGCATCCATGAAAATACCAGGGCCAGACGATGGTATGGATGCACACCATGTAAACAAAGACGTGTTGATAGAAAAAAAAGATGCATCATCATTGACATGAGATTTACAAGAGGAGGAAAAAAGATGAAATCTTTTATATGCTGTTGAAATGCTGTTGAATCGGTATAACTACAAGTATAATAGATGGGTGATATGTTGTTGAAACATTTACAAAGAAGAGAAAAGTGTATGTATACAGAAAAAGAGGGGTGTGTGTGTGCGTGTATGAAAAAAGGGCGAGAGGGGAGAGAAGTTGCAATGTACTTTTTTTTTGTTCATGTTGAATTAGATCGGATGGGGGAGTCCGACATGTTTAAGCTTCCTTCGGAAAAAGCACGGCCCGCAAGATGTCGCAACGTCGCTCCAACATTTCGAGGAATCCATGCATTTGTTGCTCGTTCATATGGCTGAGCAAGATCTTGAATCGTGTATCATCCATCTCACTTAATGGTTGTTGTTGGCACATTTTCTTTTGAGGAACATCCCATGTATCATCATCCAAATGAGAGTATGTACGCTTGTCACCAAGTGAAGGGGCTGAGGATGCTGACTCAATAGGTTTACGTATAGCGAGTGGACGTACATTAGCCATTTTAAACATGACATTGGCATTGATACATTGGCAGTGACCAGCAGGTTGCAAACAAGCTCCTGTGCATGGTTGGGGTTGCGGAGGTGCTGCCAGCAATAATGGGCGCAAAAGATTGGCTGCAACGGCTGCAGTGGCAGCAAATTTAGCCTGCTGCTGCTGTTGCTGTTGCTTCTTGCTTGGATTCTTTTGTCGGATATGCAATGGTCGATGCTGGTTGTATTGCTTGTAATAAAGACCACAGGCATTGCAAAGTGAATGAGCACGATCAGGTGTACGACGCCATAAGGGTGTCTTTGTGACATGGCAGTTGTAACACTCCATTTGTCGCACTGGTCGTTTGCCTGTAGTAGTCGACTGTGGTGCCTGGTTGTTGGGAGAAGCATCATCACTCATACTAACAGTGCTTGATGGTGGTGACACTGGTGATGGTGGCTGATGTTGTTGTTGATCCTCTTCAAAGTTGAGAAATTGATCAAAGGTGAGAGGATCTTCCAAAGAGGTAGCCATGTCGAGTGTGCTCAGTGGAGGGAAATCCTGAAAGAGTGATGTTGGTGTCTCCAAAGAATCACCAGCTGATGAGGCAGGTGAATGTGGCAAAAACAGGCCGGATGAAAATAGCGAGTCGGCCATGTATTTAATATATGCGGGTGATCTGTGTGTTGAGGGTGTGGATGAAAGGGGTAAAGAAAAGGGCGATGGGCCATTGCGTTTTTAAATGGGCCCTTCATCTATTCCTTCAACACCCGAGAGCAAGGTTTGGCTTTCTCACAATTTGTGTAACCACGCAAATCAAGACTCATCTCTCTTTCTATTCCCCTTTTGGGCACACATTCATTCTTTACTTTGCATACGTCTTATGACGCATTCTCTGATGCTATGTTGATCATCCTTATACAAAGAGATACATATCGCACATTTGAAATCATCCATTTGTAAAGCGTGTTGTGAGTTTTTGGGTAGGGTGTGTTGATCACAATCTCCCCACCATTTTGCTGGCTGGCCTTATTTTCTTCCCCAGAATGAACTTCCGTCTCGAGTCACCAGCGCTTATCGACCCAATCATATCACTCGTACCTAGATCGCTATCATTGGCATATGATTGGTAATGGTGATTCTCCACAACAATCCACCACCAACCTCGGATGCTGCTGGCAATGTTTCAGCATAGGTGGTTCGTTATTATTGTGAATGATCTCTTGGCTTTTTCTTTTCTAATGAGGCCTCGCAACGTTGTAGGTTGGTATATGCATGTGGTAGGGTATCGTGTGATTACCTTACACGATCATGCTGTTATCCAATAAAAGTACGCAAGCAAACGCAGGAAAATAGCACTATCGGTATGCATATTATCAAAACAACAAGGGTATCCAATAAAATGGGATGTTGGATGTGGCTGATAGCCGTTATCAAAATAATTATCAAAACGATTGTCACGTGACATGTACGAGAAGAGTCGCCTTATCAAAGATTGGGGAAGGTTACCAATACAATAGCAGGACGTAGGCATGTGAATCAACGAAGCGGGTAATAATAGCCATGACGACTTTGACAGTTCATGGGTTTTAGGATACATCATGTAAGGGGTGGTTGTACAATAGCCGAAAAGACAACTACTTGCATAGCTTAATTTCAGATTCCCGATAGGATGTCCCCATTACCAAGTAAATGGGTGCTCACAATACTGTTAGCTGACATGCCAAATAAAGCAAGAAGCAACGTAAAATCGACACCAGAGGGCATAGAAAGGAGTCTGTGCACCAGCCTTAGCATCTTCTTAGTTGTTCCATCAACGTCATCAGAGCTTGTTTCTTATACATTCTTTATCCTACCATCTTTTAAAACACTATCCTGCACTCTCATGGTGTAATAGCAATACCCAGCGAATTTCTGATCTTGATTTGGTGACCAGGGATGAGGAAAAAACATTACTTTCTTAAATGTTCTTCACTCTTTCTATAGAAGGACAAAGAACATTTCTTGACGAGCCATTCTGTCTCGCTTTTTATGCCTTGGTTTGACTGAATAAAATGGACTTTTTCTTTTTTTCTTCCATCTCACACAACAACGTTTATTACTTGCTTCACTCATGATATGGCAGTGCGTTCTTTTAGACCTACACAGTTAGGAGGAGATACTAGCGTTGGGTTTTTACGATGCTTGTATCAGGCAAGATCAATCGTTTTACAACTCGAGCGTTTCAGCACATCCTCTCGTTTGTATCAACGAGGACAACGAGATGACATAAGAGCATATATCAATACAACATTTAACAAACTATTACGACTATTTCATGCTCTCTCTCACGTTCTTACCAATATGGAAAGGCAACACCCGCCTTCAACCAACCGTGCTCGCATCGCATCTTTTCGCAATGACCTTCAAACAGAATGGCGACGAGCGACTCGTGTCTACCAAGTCTTGCTCGATCGCATGTCAAATTGGCACTTGCAAGAAGCATCCTCTCCTTCAACGTTATCGGAATTCAGTGACGGTTCGGCTTCTCCATGGTCGAACAATAGTCCTTTGTTACCAACATGCTGAACAACGTTTACCCACAGTCATCATTCTTAGCAGTAGCATTCAATCATCCCATCGTATTCACCACACAGCTATTCTTACAATATGTCACACACACTCTCATTGTCTATCTATATACCATCAATATTATGCTCAATGGCTTTTCATATGCCACGTGAGAGAGGCAGAGGAAGCAGATGTCTTGCAGTGCAGAAGTAATCTATATAAAAATGACCTCTCCTACATATCATTTGCAGATGCATAAGCAAGCAATCAGGGGAACTCGTGTTGTTGAGCATTGGCCAATGAATTCTTATAGTGTGCCAGATTGCTGGAAACGTGAACCGTGTTTGGTAATAGTACACGCATAACAACTTGAAGGATCATCATCACCTGTACTATGTATACGTATCCGCGGTCAAGATGGGGTTAAAGAAAGACATACATAGCGTATCCATGGCAACCATTTTCTTTGACTATGGTATACGACCATGCCTATCCATGACGAAAGCCAAGTTGTATACCATTTTTGCTCGTTTGGATAGTAGTTTATAGCGCTGCATGATGTTTGAAATGTTGGTTATCGGATAATGTCAATGTACAACAGGGACCACGTCTTCTTGCAACTCGTGTGCAACGCAATCTCAATCGGCGACGCGAATGCAACCCACAAGTAAAACACGTTATGTACGCGTGGTTTATCATGATGATGGCTTACGACAAGGTTTCTTTTTACGTGATACTGCATGAGTGCCACCAATAAGCTACTACTGCTCAAAATTGAGCGGGCGTTGTATGTCGATGCGGCGAATGCTAGGTAAAAAGGAAACCACTACTCCTTCCATCCGCATGGTTGAATGTCAACCAAGATACATATATGTGCGAAGGTGTATGACAGTAACCATGGTGATGTTCATATGGCGTTCTCTTGAAAATGCACCATTTTAAGTTAAAAAAGACAAAGCTGCATCATTATTCCCGGTCGTCTCTTTATTTCCCTTCCTTTTAATATTACAAAGATCATCCACCCAACAACATTCACTTTTATGCCTTATCCAAAAATTGTGTTTTCTTCCGGTCGATCCAACAACAATACGTCTTCATGCATTCTACCGTTAGAGATCATTTTCAACATCATCCACCACATAGACGACAAACCCACACTCAAAGAGATTTCTCTCGTATGCCCTCAACTGTGCCAAGTCGCACTTGAACAACTCTGGAGACGGTTACGTATCACGCATACGCCCGCTTTTGAACATTTTCAAAGGTCACCCTGCATTATGGATTGGATACAACATCTCGACATTGATAGCGTATCTTGTTTGACACCATCGGTATTGAACATTCCATGTCGCCTACAAAGTTTACGAATACAGCAAGTGGAAGAGATAGCCATCGATCCTTTATCATTGGCACATGCCAAAGCACTTACCACCATCGAGCTCATCAGCTGCAGTTCCCGCATTGTCAACAACGTCATATTACATCACCTACCAACCCAGTTGGCGCGGCTTGTGCTACATGATTGTCCAGCTGTTACCGATCGACATGTCGTTTGTGTTGCTAACGCATGTTCACGGCTCTTATCGTTGGTCATTACTGGCAATAGCAGCAGCTTGATATCAGATGAAGGCTTAACTGCTGTAATCAATTCCAATCCACTTCTTCAAGAGATTGTGGTGATACCGCCACGTACCATTGTGCAGTTGAATACAATCACCAGTGTCACCATTGATGCCATCTTAGCCCAATGTTCTAATCTCAGGCTCTTTGTATGCCCTAATCAATCCCGTATTGCCAATACAAGCACCATGGATCGACTCAAGACCCACTGCCATTTATTAGAATTATGTGATTTAAGACATCCTCTCATTCCAGATAGTCCATATTATGAAAAGCATTAAAATAGGGTGAAGGGGAAATAATGTGTATGGCCTCTCTCTTCTTTTTGAATGCCGAGCCAAGTAGCAGCAGCGTCGGGAACTGATTTCTTTCTCTCTCACTCTCTCTCTTCTATTTCTCAATCCATGCCACCCAAACGCAAAGCTGATAAAGGCAAACAAAGCCAATCCAAACGATCCAAAGCGGACGATGAGCCTATTGTCGACGAAAAAGATAGCACTTCACCTGATGAGACCAACATTGGAAGCAGCAGCAACAACAACAACAACAACGACAAGAATGACGCTGGCAGCTTAAACGACAAAATGCAAAAGTTCAAAGAGTTACGACGACGACGAGTAAGCATTCCTATTCGTACTTGTTGGATGGCGTTTAACACTTGCAATGTATCATAGGCAACCGAAGTTGAGCAAGGCAATCGTCGTGATCGCAACCTTGAGTTTCAACGCAGCAAAGAGAATCCTCGATATGAAGCCAAGTTGGAACGAAAACGTAAAGAAGCCGAGAAGCTTTTGGAGAAACAGGTAATGTTCATGGCTACATCAAGTTGCATTTTACTGGATACTCATGGTTTGAATGTTTTATAGAAAGCAATTGAGGATGGCGAAGACTATGAAAGAAAGTTGTTTTGGAAGTTTTCTGCTGAATCGGTTGAAGCATGGGAGGAAAAGATGGCGAAGAAGGCTGAGCGAGCCAATGTTGGCTTTACAGGTATGTGATAGGGATATTGGGTTGCTATCGGCTACAAGGCGATTGACTCTTTTTGCGATTATAGATTACAATCAACTTGCACACAAAAAGTATCAAAAGCTGATTTCAGAGCTCAAGCCTGATCTGGGACAATATGCCGAGAAGAAATTGGAGAGCATTGAACGAGCCATCCGCAACGGTGAAGATCCTTCCAATATTGATGCCATTGCAAATAATGTCGACTATGGATCACTGGACGACAAGCCATCCAAGGAGGCGATCGATAAATTGGTACAAGGTGTGAAGCGTGAGATCCATACACGGGAAACTCGGTCTCGCGAGCGCAAGGAGATTCAAGACGACATTTCTTGGATCAACGAGAAGAACCGCGTCTTCAACCAAAAGATTGCACGTTTTTACGACAAGTATACCAAGGAAATCAGAGAAAATCTCGAGCGAGGCACTGCATTGTAGTTTATGTTTTAGTTTCTCTTCTCATTCTCTCCTTCATCCATATGCATATATATAAAAACACTCTTCAATCATTATAAAGTAGTGAACAATGGAGGGTCTTTAAGCGGGAATATTGTATTGTGGCAGGGGTGTTTCACTGATACAGCTGTATTGGGTCTTAATGGGGGTTCTGGGTCATGGAGTATAGCACTAAGGTTATGTACTAGAGGATTTGGCTTCATCTAGCAATTACAATCCTTGCCAAGAATCACTCATTAGCTTTGGTAGCACACTCAAGTTGCCTAATAAGATAGCTGCATTTGAGATTATTGATGACATTATAGACCTGCGGATCGACGTTTAATATGTAAGATGGTCATGAAACAGGTATATGATATGATAAGGGGATCAGTGCTGTAGTGTAATGTCAATCATGATGATGGATGGGTGGTGTCTGTGCGTTTTCATATTAGCTGATCAAATGCCTTGATACATACGTACATATAAGATTGGTCAGGATGCTTATATCGGTCAAGATTGCATGCAGCCGGTGATATATTCCCTGGGATGGCACCCAATAGTATGGATCAATACAAAACAAGGTATACGATTCATCCATCTTTGTTTATATATCACTTTATTATAAAAGGGGTGTGGGATAAGGGTAATAAAAGAATCAGATGCATGATGCATGAATGGGCTTGGAAACAAGTGCTCATTGTGTGGGAGAGACCAGCAGCATTTATATCCGGTAGCGCGCCCAGTGAATTTTCAAGACTCGTGCTTCAACACTTTCAATGGAGTCCACCAACAACGATAAACCGGGTGACCCATCACCGCCTCCATCCTCATCAATCACGTCATCCAATGCCTCTTTAGCAAGAAGAGAATCGACAATGACCCACCCGCATGCTTCTCCAGCTTCCGATCCCTCCGTACAATCGAGCCCGATTTCAACGAGTCCACCTACCACCTCCAACACACCTTCATCGTCCACCTCCACCAAAGTGCGTAGTGTGCCAATACCACAACCACTCCTTTTGAAAAGACGCACCAGCCGATCATCTTTCTCGTCATCGTGTGAAGATTCCAATGAGCAACCAGCAACGACTGCAACCACCAGTAGAAAGCAACAACGTTCTTCATTTCAAATAACACCTTCTACAATGCATCCATCACCGACAGGCAGTGAAGCTTCTTCTCAACAACAGCAACAACATCAACACCAACAGAGTACACTTGCACGCAAGGTTCCTATGGAAGCTGGATATAGCAGTAGCCCTGGCAGTGAAACAGAACCCTTTACCGCAGCACATTTAAGCGCGTCTTCTTCACATCAAAGTTGTCCTCGATCACCAAAGCAACTTCAATCGAGTGGAGCCTATTCGCCAAGATATGCAAGTCCTCCTGCTGGAAGTGGTGGAAAATACATGGTCAAATCAAAGCGTGCCAGTTGGATTGATGGTAGCGCTGCCAGTAGTAGTGGATCAACATCACAACAACAACACCCAGCTGTCAACCCAGATGGTACGATTCCGCCATCACCCTCCACACCCATCACTGAAAGTTTACGATTAGCCAAAAGCAGAAAGGGATCCATGGTCGATGGGTTAAATATCACATCATCAGCTTCATCACCTGTTGGGTCACCAAAAATGATGATGATTCCTAAACGTACTAGTACAGCAGCAGCAGCAGCAGCAGTGGATCACCATGAACAGCAACAACCTGATATACCACCAATGACTCGTCCTTCAATATTGGCTCACAAATCAGGATCCATATCGAAATTACGTGAAGCAAGGATCGATCATTTGACTACACCTACTTCATCAGCATCATCATCATACACGGATCAATCGTTTATGCGACCACCACCTAAACGATCATCATTCATTGATAACAACATTGGAGACACTGATGACATGGCTTCTACGACTTCAACGGATACGCACAGCATCTCATCACTTCAATGGTATGGATCCAAGCGACAAAGTAATACTAGTCAGCAGCCTGGTGTGCCCTATCATGAGCGACGAGCATCTTCCATTTCATCAGTGGTCACGGATTCAAGCATGTTGACGGATGAATATTATTCACCTGCATCGTCACCACGATTATTCCAATCGCCTCGAGGAGGAAGTCCAACTACTCATTTGGAACGAGGCAAGTATCAGCACCCAATTCAAATAGCCTAAAAATAAGCAACGCTAATAGATTGATGTATTTATTTATAGGCAAAATGTCAGCAGCAACACGATATGAAACCAATTCTGGATCATCATCACCATCCAATCCATCAGCATCAGCGAGCTATACTGCACATGGATCATCACAACGTGCGAGTCGAAGATCGTCTATGAACATGTTGAAAAACATGTCCAACTCTGAATTGGCTGGTATTGTCAGTGGTGCTTTACCGAATCCAGTGGCCGATACCCCACCTACAGCATCTTCTTCATCTTCAGCAGCACCACCACAGCCACCACCATTGACCATTCCAGTGGGATCCAATGCATCAACGGGTACGAGTAGTGCATCACCTGAAGCGATCAAGAATGTCAACACAGCGGGTATTTCAGCCTATCAACATTCCTTGCATTCATTATTACGACGACAATTCTCGAACAAACGAATGACCAATCGACGATCCATGTCATCTTCGGTAGATACGCCACCTGATGGAAGTGGACGATTGACAAGTAGCAATCCTGAAGCTGATAAGGATGTGGTGGAGATCAATCTTGACAGCGATGATACCCGTTCCACCGCTGGGACAGCTGCAGATGGCGAATCACATGATGGTACCTTCGATAGTCATCATCATGATCATCATCACCTTCAGACACCTATCTACCCGGCTATGCTTTTGAATGCGACACAAAGTGGCTATGATTTTGATGCTGAGCATGATCGACTTTCGTGTCATCCACTCGCCGTCAATGCAAGTACATCAGCACCTGAATTGTCTCGATGGGAACAGGATGAAGATAGTGATTATTTTATCCAATGTGAAGGTAAGCTTCTTCGATCAATAGTATCCAACCCTATGAATGCTGATCAACGATCGATGATAGAATCCCCTTCAACATGCGGTCAATCACTCTTTGAAACGGATGAGGCATATGGAGAACGTCTTTATTTGTCACGCACAGCCAAGTTGAAACGATGGTGCTCGTTCCGGTCCAAAGAAAGTGATCATCACCATTTACGATCATCACCACGCCCTATGGCTCAATTATCAAGAGTCAAAGAACAGGATCGTCCTCATATGCCAAAGATCTTGGTGACCAGTGAAGAAATCGATCAAGATGCTGATGGAGAAGCTTTACATGAAAACGACAAGTTGAGGATTGTGAATGATATTCCATGGGTGGATTGGCTTGAAGAATATCGGGTGATCAAAGATGCTGAAATGGAAAGACGACGATCCACAGGCTCACAACCCGAAAAAGAGACACCCCATCATCATCATCATCATCGATCGGTGACTCAAAGGCTGGCAGAATGGTGGCATATTGTCAAGTCTTCAGCAGAAGGATACACCACATCTCATCATGTTCCTCATGTACGTCGACATAGTGATATGCATTGGGGATTCTCAAAAATGGAACATCATCGCCGATCGAGTTTATCTTTGGAAAAGGATCATTCTATTGAATCATCGACCATGTTTGAGAAGCCTAAGCTACGACGTTGTCTCACTTCACCCACTGAAAATGATTTGAGTGCCGAAGCACATAAAGTGGCAGCAACACAACAAGCAGCACCACCACCACCACCACCATCATCCACATCAACATCACGTGACCAGGACATGGAATCACCAATCGCTGCTGATTATCCAGATGTCAAGTCTGCCACAACACCTCGAATTTCACCGAGAAAAACAGCTTCACATACAACATCACACGTTGCTGGTTATCGATTCAATAATCCTGTGGGTCAACGATCAGGTTTATTTGGACGACTTGGAAAAATATTTGGCATCAACAGTGAAAGCGATGATCGGCATTCGTCTTTACGTGTACAAAACACCATTCGATCTCGTTTACAGAATGCCAAAGATCAATGTGACTTGACAATGCGAAGTATCATTGATGATTTGAATGAATACGTCGAGCGTGGTTTGCAATACGTCGAGGACATGGATGAGATTCTCGAACGAGGCGTTCAAGACATGAGCAGTGGTGAAGAAAACGTGAGCGATACGGATACCGAATATGGGACTGTTGTCAACGATGCTGCTGCCACCACGCCTACTACAGCTACCCCAGTGGATATGCATTACAATCAAACAACGAATACCGCACAACAAAGGCGATCACGTACGTTGCCCACAGCATTGCAAGATATCCAGGAACAAGAAGAGACCGATGATCACCCTCCACCTCCTCCAGTTGACGATGGTCATTATGCTGAAGATGCTTCTTCTCAAGTCAACAACATGGTTACTCTTATCAGCGAGGATTCATATCTGCCAACTCCTTTCATCTTAACGCTTCAAGATCTCATTGCTCTTGCACAAAGTGTCATGGATACCCCATTGGATGTTTTTCTTGAATACAGTGGATCATGTGCTGAGCTTGTTTCCAAGATCCAAATGATTGGTACAGCATGGGATCAGCATCCTGAATGGCCTTGTCGTGAATGGTATGTCAAGTTGCTATTGAGCGTGGCTGCATTGAATCGTGTGCTTGATTGGTGGGAAGCCGAGCGTGCATTTTGGGCGGCAGGTCAACAATCATCACCTGCTATACGACCAGCAAGCGATGTTGATACAGGAACAACAACCGATTTGGAATCGATGACGGAAGGGGATTCATCCACAGGCTATGAGCGACAACGATTCCCAACCAATAGTAGCAGTGAAGTGGGATCAGCCATTCCCTCTCGATTACTTGCTAGTGGAGATGAAACGACTTCTATATCTTCTGGCGATGATGGGGAACGTATGGAGATCATGGATGATAATGCCGATATGCAAGAAGCGGAAGGTGCGAATAGTACGATTATCATGGAATTGAGCTTGGGCACTGCAGCTGTGCAATACGTCAGCCCTGTATGGTTGGATGTCATTGGGTAAGTGGTGAATAAGGTAAAGCAAGATGATTCATTAACATGTTTTTTATTCAATAGAACCAAAGATGCTCAATCTGTGATGGGATCCAATGTTTCCAAATTTCTGGCACAAGAAGATCAGCGTGTATTCACCGAAGCTACCGAAGAATTGCTTGCTGATGATTCACGTACGGTGGAAGTACGATTCAACATGATGACCTCAGATGACGATGTTACCGAAATGGAAGGCAAGGGGATGTTGATGTACAATCGTGTCACGTATGAACCAAGTCATACCATGTGGGTCATCAAGCCTGTAAGCTCACGCCGTTGGTCCTTGATTGAACGCATGCAACCATCCACGTCTACGTTGTCATCCAAGTATGATCAACAATCGGTGAATGACGATGAGAAAGGTGCACAGGCCATTATGCGTAATCGATCCATGTCGGAACCTAATTTGGAGCCAGCTACTGCCGATGACACAGCAATGGAGATTGAAGAGGAGAACAATGAGGAAGAGGATCAACAAGGAACCATTTCTCGTGAAGCACTCATGTCACTTCCTCCAGTATTGTGTCACGTATGCGAGAGATGGGTGGTGGCAGCATTCTTTGAACAGCATTCGGAGCTGTGTATCGAGATTCATCGCACCGAAATGGAAGTCAATATATGCAACGACAATTTGCGTGATCTGCGATCCCATGTGTTGGAGGTTTCTGAGAATACAAAGAATGATATCGCCGGCTTGTTGGAGGGAAAGGCAGCACCTGAAAGTGACACTGGATCCATCAAACAAGAGACTTCAGATCAAGATTCAATTTATGGAGCTGATTCACTTCCCATTGAACAAGGACCTACCCCTCTTGAAGAAAAGAGAGCCGAATTGGAGATTTATACCGATTTGCTTTCCATTTTGGATGTTGCTTTGAGCATAACCATGCCAGGAAGGAGTGATGATGACGAGACAATGAATGAGGATGAAGACAATGAGCAAGGAAAGCCACACTCTTTACAGTCTCCTCGCTCTAAAAGCAAAATGGTGCAGATCCTTTATTGGAGACCTCCTGCAGCTGAAGGTGGCAATACTCTTTCTTTGATTCGTGAGGTGGAGCGATTGACAAGGAAGAAGGTGGATGTGGTGAATCGTATGCGAGATCATTTGGAATACAACGAACGTGCTCGAACTGATTTCCAAAAGACGATGCAACAAGAAGCTGGTTGGTCCGAATTTGTGCCATCTGGCAACGATGATGAAGCGACTACAAAGCAAGCTCAAGATACCAATATCGATAAAAGAATACCGCAAAAGAGAGGACTATTGAGCAAGCTGAGATTATGGAAATCTAAAGGAGTGGATCGACTTGCACGACGACATCGGCGAAAGCAAGCTCGAAAGTCTTCAACATCATCTACTACACCCGCACCAACACCACCACCTAAATCAACACGTCCTTCCGATCCATCCATTCTTGAAGCTGAAATGATTGAGACACCAGTAGCATCACCTGGATTACGACCTCAAAAATCAAAGGATCTCAGTACTGGCAAATCACCTCTTTCACCATTACAAGCATTTATTCCTCCACGACCTACTCCACCCAGCATCAAAGACTTTGATATCATTAAACCCATCAGCAAAGGTGCTTTTGGTTCGGTGTTCCTGGCAAAAAAGAGATCGACCGGTGACTATTATGCGATCAAGTTCCTGAAAAAGTCCGATATGATTGCAAAGAACCAAGTCATGAATGTCAAGGCTGAACGCATGATCCTGATGACACAAACGGATAGTCCCTTTGTCACCAAGCTCTACTACACCTTCCAATCCAAAGATTATCTCTATCTGGTGCTTGAGTATTTGAATGGTGGCGATTGTTCAGCCTTAGTCAAAGTCTTGGGAAGCCTTCCAGAGGATTGGGCGCGTAATTATTTGGCAGAAGTGACCTTGGGATTACAGTTTCTACATGACAAGAATGTCATTCATCGGTAAGAGTCTCATATTTTATTTTCAGGAACACATAATATTAACGTGTAGACAATGATGATAGTGATTTGAAACCTGATAACCTCCTCATTGATCAAAATGGTCACTTGAAGCTTACGGACTTTGGTCTTTCACGCATTGGCTTTTTGAATCGCCGGGTACGAGATGAGCTCACCACCGCCAATGCAGGTTTTGGAAAAGAGATGGCACCACAACCTACTTCCCCAGCACCTTCACCTTCAGGATCACAAGATGATGGCCCAACAACACCAACCAACAACAATGGCATATACCGGCACTCGTATTTCAGCTTGTTATTTGATGATGATCAAACGCCATCACCCGTTGAACGGCAAACACCGCCACCAGGAAGGATGGGAGGAGGGCTATCAGAATCAAGTACGCCATCTCGTACCAATACGGAGCCACCAGAGATGCCATTTGGTGCACCTGGCTATATGCAAGCGGAGCGCAATGATACCATAAAGAAGGCTGTTGGCACACCCGATTACCTTGCCCCTGAAAGTATCCTTGGTACAAGTCAAGATTCGATGGTGGATTGGTGGGCTCTTGGTGTTATTTGCTATGAGTTTTTGTATGGTATTCCACCTTTCAATGCCGAGACACCCGACAAGGTGTTTGAAAACATTTTATCACGACGCATCGATTGGCATGAGGATGTGATTACGGTGTCCCCCGAAGCACGCGATTTTATGGAACGACTTATGACCCTTGATCCTGAAAAGCGACTTGGTGCTAATGGTGCTGAGGAAGTCAAGAACCACCCATTCTTTAAAAGCATCAATTGGGATACTTTGGTTACCGAATCACCAGCCTTTGTACCGAAAACGGATGATATGGAGGATACAATGTATTTTGATCAACGTGGAGCAACCATGCCGGAGGACAATACCATTTCAAATGCTCGTCCGCAATTGGCCAAGGATGAAAAGGATCAAGTGGAAAGAGCCAATGCTATTATTCAAGAGCAGAATCCTGAAAATGTGACACAATTACAAGATGGACATCAGCAACGACAAAACATTCATTTGAGTGCGATATCATTGAATCAGGAACAAGATGCTGTGGCTGATGAGTTTGGTACCTTTGTCTACAAGAATCTACCTGTGCTTGAAAAGGCCAATGAGGATGCCATCCGGAAGATCCGGCATGAAAGCGGTGCTGCTGGTGACACAAGCAACAAGTCATCTCCACAAAAATCGATTCCACGTCGCAAGTCAAGTACAGCTATTGATGCTCAGGGATCATTTACACCACCAGCACTTGTACCTTCATCTTCATCATCGACACGAGGGGTCAAGACAAGACTCTCTATGGATGTTATGCAAGCTCAGCAACCTGTCATGGAAAAGTTAAAGTCGCAAGAGCAACGATCACGATCAGCATCTTCACCTGGTGAGCGTATTATGGATCGACCCTCACCTCCTGTATCCTCCGAGTCGAGTGGTGGCACACCCAAACTCAAGCAGCTCAATTGTTTGGTGGTGGATGATAATCCCATCAGCTGCAAGATCTTGGAGACCATTTTACATACGTTGAATTCTCGTTGTGTGATTGCAAGGAATGGTGCTCAAGCGATTCGTAGTGCCATGGGAGATGTACGTTTTGATATCATTTTCATGGATATTCGTATGCCAATCAGTAAGTACAAGTGAGGAATGAAACATGTTACACGCATATCACCTAACCTTTTGTGTTTTAGTTGATGGTGAAGCAGCCGCACGCATGATTAAATCGACCAACAATAGTAATCGAGATACCCCCATCATTGCCGTTACCGCCTATGAAAGAACAGTGCAATTGGCAGGAGCCTTTGATGATATTTTGAGCAAGCCAGTGACCAAAACCGTTATCTATGAGCGGCTTCAACAATACTGCGGCTCTTGTTGTGTGGAACAACCTCCGCCACGACCACCCCTGTTTGCACATTACTCATCAAGTTCTTCGTTGTCATCTACAAAAGCTATCCTACCAGAATAACCTATTTCACATACACACCAAGGTTGATACCCCACACACACACACCCTACCCCATGTGTATTACATACATAAATACAATACATCATTGTGTATACAACAAAGACAAACCTAGTTTAGTGCATGTATGTTTGGTACAAATAGGATGTTTGAGAAACGATATTGCAAATAAGCCTGTAATGAGTCTCGTGATTATGACAAGGAAGCATGACAGTTTGTGTCCTCGTGGAACAGAAAATAGTAAGGCCATGTGTCCGCCAAAACGGATGTGGTAGCGGTTGTTACATACATGTTGGATCTGAGATGATTTTACACATAGTAGAATGTTTGGTCTAAGGATACACACACACACGCACACACAAATGTCAAAAGCAAGTTGTTGCATCCATCTTTTGTTAAAATTGGGTGAAAAGGTGTATTGCCTCTGATGATTGGGGGAAGAGATGTAGCATAACGTGCATCTTCATTCTTATCAAAAAGGACCACCGCCAATAACATTGGATGATGCACATTGAACAACTTTCAATTTCCCCCCGCGTGGGAGAGGGCCACCATCATAATTGGATGATTGAAAAATTCTCATTGGTTTATCAGCTTGTTCTTTCTCTTCTTTTTCACTCTCACGAACACCCACACACACGCAAGACATACTCTTGTCAACCGCAACACTATCTCTCCATCTCTGTGCCGGTTAACTAAAACAACTCATCTCTACGCAATCAACACATTTCGTTGTGTCATCTCTCTTGAACTCTTCATCTCTGGAACTTCTTTTTTCACCTTCGGTTATTAGTTTTTGGGCGTTCCATAAGGTATATTACGACCAACCTATTTGTCACCACCAATACCACCACCATATCATCATCATGCTCACACACACAACCCTCTCCTATCATTTATAATAGTGAAACGCCCACACAGAAAAGAGTTAGCACTGGACAAGAACACCGTGATTTTCCTTTACGCTTCCAGCACCATCTTCTCCAAGGCCACCAAGGAAGGAAATTTCGCTTTTAGTATAAGTAGTATAAGTAGTAGTAATCCAACGACGATATCCATCTCGACATGATCATTGCAAGCTCAGCCAAGAAAGAGCTTGCTATTCCAATGCAAGTACTGCAACAACAGCAGCCCTCGTCAACCACAGCCTCCGATACCTGTACCACTGCCAGCAGCGACAGCACCATCCAACTTGCCCATGAGTATTGTAGACAACAAGATCACAAGGACATTATCCATTTTACCAAACGTGATTCCAGTAAGTTGTGTGTGTGTGAGTGTATAAAGGTGGTTTGCCGAGACCTAATTTTTTCCATCAGACACAGCAAATGATTTTGTCACCAGGGTCTTTGGTCGTCTCAGCCGCAACGTAGATGAGCTGATGCTGATCAACGTGCACGAGTCTTGCAGGCCAGTGCAATGTGAGGCATTCATCCATGAAAACACCGTTTTTCTCACCAGCCCTGTCAAGGAACAGTGGAATGATGGCGAGTTTCAATCTTGGTACGTGTGTGTACAACAACAGCCTCCTTCCCTCCCTTTACATTGGATTCTCACAACATCGATCTTGTTATAGTGTCACGCACTTGATTGAATTAGCCGAAGAAAAAACAGGTTGCGAATACTTGGTGATTGCTATCGATCGAAGACATTGTACTAACAGTAAGTCATATAACAATTCACACATTTGTTGTATATCACATGTACATAGATGTTGGATCGTGCTCCTTTCTATTCTCCCGGTTTGTGTGAAATACTAATATCCTCGTTAGATCACAATGCTATGCTTCGTGCATTCATGTATCTTGGTTTCCAGATGATTGATCCTTCCGTCTATGGCCAAGAGGCTGGGTACATTCTTGTTGGTTACGAGCTTTGAGATTTTATAAACCGCTGTAATGTTAGATCTCCCTTTTTATCCACAACCCCCATTTTTTTCCTTTGATTGAATACATATGCTTTATTGGTACCTAAATTGAATGATTGTATGTATGATGGCAAAAGAGGGAGACCAAACATCCCAACATTACTGAAACGCGTCCCCAACATTGCATGAACAACCATGTGTCTTGCTTGTATCTCACATGTGTTGTTCAAAGTACAATTGCAACTCCCTTCGGTGGTGGATCCTGTGATCAACTCGTCTTTTGATGTTTTCAGCCGTCGTGTAGCAACGTCGTGTATAGCAATGTCGTATAGCAAGATGGGGGACCCTTAAGTACGTATGATGACTCTTTAGCAACTCCATCCAGTAAACCATGATACTCCACACAACTACATTCCTTAAGCCAACATGCAACAACAAGTTCCCGTTTCCAGTGCTAATATTGATGTATGTATTTATTGCTGCGGATGCATAAAAAGGTAAGACTACAATGCGGGCTTGAAACGGAAATGCATTCATCCACTTCTTTTTTCTTTGTTCGTGAAAAACAACGCCGTGCATAAATGTCGGGTGCAGGACCATCACCATCACAGCAACAAAAGCAACAGCAACCACGACGCTCAGGAGGAAATGCGATCCTAGTCAATTACGCACGGCAAAAAGAGAACCCTGTTTTACGACTTGTACACAATGTGCCATGGGAGCCTAGCGATGTCATTCGATGCGATTTCGCGGTGGGTCAAACGACAGGTGTTTTATATCTTAGGTGAGCATGCACATGGATATGATGACAAGGTGATCCCATATTAACGTATGCCTCATATAGCTTGAGATACCATCGACTCAACCCAGGGTACATTTATGATCGAATGTCGAGTATGGCAAGGATGTATGTGCTGCGGATCTTGCTTGTATTGGTTGATATCGACAATTACCATGATGCTTTACGGGAACTTAATCGATCAGCTATTCTCAACAACTACACCATGGTGTTGGCATGGTCCAAAGAAGAAGCAGCAAGATACCTTGAGACGTACAAAGCCTTTGAGAACAAGTCACCAGATCTGATTCGAGAACGCCCTGTTGATGACTTTTATGCACAAATGACGGATGCTTTGACGCATGTACGCAGTGTGAACAAGACCGATGTTCTTACTTTGCTATCATCTTTTGGCTCGTTGCACGGGATCGCAAGCGCAAGCACAGACCAACTCGCCATGTGCCCTGGATTTGGAGAGCAAAAAGTGAAACGATTACAACAAGCATTATCACAGCCTTTTATTGTCAATCCAAAGAAGAAAAAATAATACATTTTATACATGTTTATCATTGCAAGTGGGTAAAGGATGGGGAAAATGGGATGGGGATGGTGGTTGATTCAATGAGGTCTTCGGAGAATGGATCGTGAGCGGCAGCTTAAATCAAAGAGAGGTACGCAGAGTGGGAGGACAATAAATTACTAGGGGAACAACATCCTGAAGCGTCCTCTTTTTTGCAAGAAAGAATAATGTATGTAACACACACACACACCACGTCTATAGTAAATCCACACACACACAATCAATGGATGAATACATAGATGGATGGATTGATGAATGGATAGATGGACGGATAAATGGATGGATGTATTAATCATGTATCTACATTTATAGCATGTCTGCCGAGGAAGATATCGTCATGGAAACCCAAGAGGTTGAAGTTGCCGCTGAGGCTACCCAGGGCCAAATGTCCGTTGAGGATGCTCTTCAGGAAGTCTTGCGCCGTGCCCTTGTTCACGATGGTCTTGCCCGTGGTTTGAAGCAAGCCGTCAAGGCTCTTGACAGGTAAGGAAGGGAATGGCATGATCCTTGATAGAGTCGCATGCTGACTTTTTTCATGACAGACGCCAGGCCCATTTGGCTGTCTTGAACGAGTCCTGCACTGAGGGTGAATACGTTAAGCTCGTCGAAGCTCTCTGCGCTGAGCACAACATCAACTTGATCAAGGTTTCCGATCCCAAGAAGCTTGGTGAATGGGTTGGTCAATGCAAGATCGACCGTGAGGGTAACGCCCGCAAGGTTGTTGGCTGCTCCTGCGTTGCCGTCACCGACTTTGGTGAGGAATCTGAGGCCATGAACGTTCTCTTGGACTGTAAGTGTTATAAAAAAGACGTGCATGACATCGATTACTTATACCCAATGCTATCATTTTAGACTTCAAGTCTCGTTAAGCTATTTGCAAAGAGCACTTGTATCAATAAAAAATAGCTTTGCTTTTGCACTGCAATCTTCATGATGGATTATTTGGTTGTTGATCTGTTAGTATTAGCGTAATGGTATCAATCATAACATGTTTTGAAAAAGTGAAGTAAGCAATAGCAATGATGCTATATCTTAAATGTTGCTATGCTTTATTGGAAAGAGCACTTGAAGAAGGCTTTGCTTTGTGCAGTGAGCGTGTGGATGAACGGTCCTTGATCTTAAGTGGTACAATAGCATCAGTAAAAGGCCTACCTTGTGTATGCTGTGAATAAAGACACATAGCCATGGCATAATCCCACATTTCATAACGTATCCAAGTTACAATGCTCTACTTGAAATGATGATTGCATGACCATGTATATGTAATTTGCCACAACCACATACAATAACCCTCATTCTTCGCATCATCAACAAATGTGCTATTGCTGAGCTCTCTGCAAACGTTAACGTTGCCAACATAACAAACAAACGTGTAATACAAAAAGGCGACACTTTTATTGCCATATCCCATTTCAACCGTGATAAACGCTTTAGATGAGACCGATCTATATTAGAGACATACGTTAGCATCTTGTTTTGCGATTGAACATCATCCCACACATCCCATTATCATGCCCCTTTCCAACCCTATTAAAGCTTACCTTGTTGGCAACATCCAAGGCATCAGCATCGGCAGTCAAGCGAACGAAAGCCTTCTTCTTGCCATCAGGGCGGATAAGAGTGTTGACTTGGAGAGCTTGGACATCATAGAGACGCTTGACAGCATCCTTGATTTGGTTCTTGTTGGACTTGATGTCGACCAAGAAAGTCAAGGTGTTGGTCTCCTCGAGCTTCTTCATGGCGGTCTCGGTGTTCAAGGGGTACTGAATGACACGGTACTGATCCATGCGAGGCAAGTGGGGAACAGACTTGCGGGCATATTTGGGCTTACGAGCCAAACGCAAAGTCTTGGGCAAGTGGAAGTGAGTCGAGGTGCGAACCTTGCGAACCGATTTGCCTTGCACACCCTTGAGGGCGGCCTTCTTGGCAGCGAGGGCTTTGTCCTTGGGAGCTAATCCACCGATTCATCCATCCATCCATTGATCAGTATTTTCATTCATCCAATGCATCTTTGAATGCATCCATGCATCCATTCTCATTGTATCGTTGTAGAATACTCACAAGTCTTGCTCTTGGGCGCCATGGGATTAGTTTCAAGGGAAGAGGGAGTTTCTCAGTATCGTGTTGCAACAGCCTAATCGACCACCCGCATTGCGGACTTTTTTTTTGGTTGCCGGCTTCCATCGCCTACTGGCTGTTTTCTAATAATCCCATTCACTGTTGCCATGATACGCTTGCTATGATACGCTTACACACATCCACCCATATTATCTTATCATGCAACAAGACTATTACGTTTTCAATAGAAGTAAAAGGTTTCATTTGAATAACCTGAGAATAAAAGTAACACGATAGATATGATGGTTGATAAACAACATGTCTTTTGCTATTCGAATGTACACTTAGGATGAATACTCGATATATGAATATGAACATGATAAAAGATGACAAGGGTAAAAAAGGGGAGAGAACAGACAAGGTATTGGTATGCTTAGGTAGAAAACAAAAACAGGGTGGGTGTATTTAGTGGAGTCGCAAGCCATTGCTGAGGGATGTTACAGGATGGAACCAGAATGCAAGAGAGATAATGGTATACGAGGCCTAGGCACAAACATTAGTCTCCATCACCATTCATTGCATCACACAAATTTATAGCTTCTTACCAATAACAAAACACCTTCAAGCCAGTTGGAGCGGCCATCCTGAATCAGGTAGTTGACAACAAACACGCTGGCAAAGAGAACGACTGTTTCAAAATCTTCAAAGAAGAGTGTCATTGGCTGATCAAAGATCCATCCTGCAATTACAAGCACGGGAGTGACGAACAAGCCAATTTGAAGGGATGAAGAAATAGCGATATTGATGCTGAGGTTCATCTTGTTCTTCATAGCAAATGTAACAGAGCTCACATGTTCGGCCGCACTAAAAAACAATGATCGTCGTCATCAATTGCGCTGTTCTCATGATGCTGCTACTCCACAAACACACACAAAATTGGGCGATCTGGCCACTCCCCCAAACACCAAGTCCATGTTTTCAAAGGAATTGTCACACTTACTTTCCAACAATAGGCAAGAGAATGACACCGACAAACGTCTCGTTGATTTCCCACTGGTCGACTACGCCTTCAATACTGCATAGCAACTTGGTATTAGTTTCCATGGCAACTTGAATCAACTTTACAATGCAATGATACTCACGCTCCAACCAAAAAGTCCGCATGAACCGAGACTAGACCAGCAATTGCCAAGAGACTAAATGCGAGTGTTAGATGTATGATGCATTTTAAAAGGACCACCCGTAATCGAATGGCTACTCACGAGAGAAGCGAAAATGTCATTGTAGTTTGGGGCTCTTCTTCATCATCCTCACTCTCATCACCATCATCATACTACAAGAAATAGAAATTAAGGCAACGTCAATATTGGGACTAGGTGGGTTGACAATTGCTTGGTGTTTACCTGGTGACGGTGGGTCTTGAGCTAGAGAAACAAAAACATGGATTAGTTGTGATACAAAGGATGATGATGAAAATGCTGCTAGGTGGGATTCTTTACATACCTGGAAAAAGAGGGACAAGCCATAGACGATGAGCAAAACAATAGCAGTGCCATGGGATAGGTTCAGCACACCAATCTCAGTATCCTTTGCGGAGGCAACAGCAGTGCCAGCAAAAGCAGCAGGTACAAGCAATGACAAGGTAGTGATGGCCAAAAGCGAAGAGGATGTTTGTGCAGCTGATGATGAAAAAAAAAGTTAGCATCACGTGCAGTACACAAAGGGGGGATATTATTGAGGGGGGAGGGGGCAATGCGCCCTTGTTGCAAACAAACCTGTCATACTGAATTGTTGATCAATTCGGCCAGCACCACCCAACAAGAAGCAAAAGCCGAGTACCTATCATTATCATGTGGTGAATACATTGCCATATGATACATGCAAGTCATTGGGCATTATAGTGGGCATTGACGTGTGTAGGTGAGTAATTTTTCCATACCAGTAAAATATTAGACAAAATCGAGCCCATGACGGATGCTAAGTAGATCATGTAACACACATGTCAGTTTTTTTTGCCATCGTCCTCGGTAACCAGCTATCAGCACAAAATAGTAACACAAAGGGATACCCACCTTGAACAACACGGATCAAACCATCTTTGAGAGCAATAACGCCAAGAATCAGCTCCACGACATTGCCAAATGTAGCATTTAGTAATGCGCCAATGGTGGGTCCAGACATCATGGCTAATTCTTCCGTGGCTATCAAATTGATATGGGAACCAAAATGCATGAGCTTCTCATGTTAGGGTTATACATCTCCATGATACATACCAAATCCCAGGAGTTTTGCGAGTGGCATAATGGCCATGAAATTGAGACTGAAAACAACGGTATCTGGTGCACCACCATAAGAGAATGCCAATGATAGCGGTACAAAGATGAGCAGCAAATTGAATTTGGAGGAAAAGAAGAGCGCCTTGAGTGATCCACTAATCGTGGGTTTGTCTTGGGCTGAATGTGAGACTGAGTTGGGAAGCAGTGGGGAGCTTTCGGTATTGATGGCCATGACCACGAAGTGAGCGATGTGGTGTTGTAAAGTAAAAGAGAGAAAGAAAGTTAAAGAAAGGTGCACATCAAAGAAATCTCGATGTTTACATATACTTATGGAACGCTACTTTCGAACTTTCGGCCAAGAAAACATTGTGCGTGCCACTATACTAGAACGCCCATTATAGCAAAAGGAAATCTAACCATGCGGCATACATAGGTGTGGTTCTAACAAGGCTACTAGAAATCAACATGCAGCACAACACAACAACGGCTGATGCTGCTGGGATTATCATTTCCAATCAACGGATGAACGAGGAGCAAACAAGGAAACCTATTTGGTATACGACGTGGATGTGCGTTCTCAAAACTGCAAGTCGACACAAACGAAGGAACATTCTACATGCCAAAGTACGATTGCATTGTTTATTCTTCAAACATCTAGGGAGGAAAATCATTTTCGTTTCGAGCAATAAACAAGTTGTTTCATACATCATCTCGCTAATGAACCCGTATCACATGGTTCATGTATATCACTTATACCAGAGAAAGAAACCAACAGCGAGCAACATCTCTCTCTTCGTGAACAAATGGCATCATATGACCCACCGCTCGTGTATGCGTTGTCCTTTGCCTTCATTGCATGAGGTTTTACTTGCCGCCATCTACCACCCACTCCTTCATCGTTGACCCAAGATTCAATATGCACTGCTATATACCTATCGTGTGAAATGCAAACGATGCCAAGGTATAGACGTTAAAGAATCCTTCCATACGAAGAGCCCTGAAACCTGCAAGACTTGTATTATGTTTAGATTTGTTGTGTGCTGTTTACAAAAGCAAATAAACGTAGCGTCGTCATTCTTTGGCGGGCGCGGTATTTACATGTCGTAGTAGTACCACGACAATCTACGTTACGATCTTGTCAATACGCCGTGATAAAGAAAGCACTAGAATTCGCTTGGCCTCGTGCACATGAAAAGCCAAGGTGATGGTGAAGCAGCAACTATTGGATTAAACCACAAATGTGATGATCGTCTCCAACAAGATGATCCCTATATAGGTACTCCTAGGCTAGATTGAAGAAGTATCTTAATTCATGCTCTAGCAAGCTATCCTTGATTGGCATACCAAGGCTAATTTTAATGCATAGAGGATGATCGTCGCCTCCATTGGTACTTTAGATCTTCCGATATCTCATTCCACGTGCCTGTTGCTACCATAATAATGAGATGAGAGATGCCGAGATTAACCTGCAGGAAGCATAACCATCCCTGGTTTTATGATTTTCCTTAAACAATGAGCTTGCCCCCTTATCGCAATCATAGCATGGTTTTCGAAAAAGACCTTTTCAGCTGGCCCCTAGCATCGATAATGCACCATCCATTTCATCATGCTCCTTCATTGTTTTGTTTTTGGTCAATTGGATCTTGTCAATGTTGATAGATCGTATTCTTTGTAGAAGGTTGGAGCTTCGAATTAGCACTTGGCGATTTTAACCGAGCTACTAGCATGCTCCACCTTTATCATCTCCTTACTTTTTTCATTACAGCATGCCCAATGAATAGCTTTCATTATCCAGTTATGGCTGTGCGGTATACAATGGTCTATGCTACGGCTCCTTAACTACAGCTTGGAATAATCAAAGATACAGCCCGGCTTATCTTTATTCATGTATACGATGCGGCTGCACTATACCACGTGAGATAGGGTGCAGCTGCATATATATAAAAACTTGATGGAACATTCGCAGCATGCTGATAGGATGAAGCCCACTCTGATGGCTTTGATTACAATGGCCCTTCATTGGTAATTTGACTAGCAATGGCTATTGCATTCATCCGAGTACCACAGGTTGGTGATAGTAATGGTATGCATAATTGCATGGTAGCCGTATAGTAGTTTTCACGCACGCACCACCTTTTCACGCCAAAGTTGTTATGTGTGTATGCATGTGTTTTCGGTGACGATGGTTTTTTGTGTTACAACGGGGAGGTGTTGAGCGAATTCCAAGCAGAAACATCCATAAACTTGGCTGCATAAGAAAAGACAAACGTGTGGATAGTCGGCTGCAGGGCGATCTTTTGTTTGTAATCCAATGACGCGTACGACAATTTCACCTCTACTAGCTATCTACTACAATCACCCATTTCAATGACGATTACATAGACGCCACAACCATAGGGTGTGTGATCGTTTATCTCCTTAAAAAGATAACTTGTCAACCAATGCAAACGTAAAACATAGCAAATAGAATACGTGTCTTGTATGTGTATATAGGATGACAGGACGAGAGAGAAAGTTTGGACGTTTAGTATTTGGGATGAGGCTAAAAGAACCTGAAACGTATGCGTTTGCATGACTGTGACACGGCACACCATGCGATTACCAGCAAAGGATATGGCGTAAACTTTGTCTTTTCCCTTCCGGCTCTTTTATGTATACATTGGTACTTGGCTTCGTTGCGGTGAAAACGGGCATAACATACAGGGTACACACTCCATGGCAAAATCGCCATGGGGTACATGACACACACATCCTCTCTCTCTTAGGTGAGGGTACGTGATAAACAAACACGCGCTTTTGGTTGCAAGGTTGACATGGGTAAGCCACACGAGTTTTCCTTGTGTTGCAAAGGGTACTCATGATCGCGAATATAAAAGGATGTGTCATTGGGCACATCTTCTTTTCTTTTCTTTACGCGTTTTTTTGAGTTCATCTCCACCCGGTATGTTATCCTTTATCCAACTTTTCGTTGTCAACTACATCCATTACTTTTCCACATTGCTTACAATCACTGTTATCAAATATAGGCCTTCTCCCTCTGCGTGCGCGTTCGCTGGCTGGGTGGGTGATAGATTGCGTCGCTTATGGATGGGGTGTAGTCCGACTCTGCCTCCTCCACCGGGGGGCGGGGTCGGCTTTTGTTGGTGTTCTTATCTATCCGGGCGTCTTCTGGAGTTCCTTGGTTGTCAAAATCTACTCGCTTTCAAGACATTACACTATTCACTCCTTTGTCATTGTGTTTGCCTCTCACATGGCTGTGCAAATCATGTCGTTTTCAATTAAAATCTCAAACTTTTAAAACCCTGTAATCCATCGTATGTATAGTCTTACTCTCAGCGTCATGATGATCATTATGCAAAGCATGCAAACCTAAGATGGCTGATGAAACAAAATGATTTACATGCCATCAACGTCTTAATCTTTTTGTCCTTTGTACATCCCCATGTCTTGAAAACCATTCATCAGCTCTCCCTTTATCACCTTGTTTGATCCCCTCCTCACGCATGTTCTCTTTCAGAACCTGTAAGCAGCCAACGTGCTCATAAAGTCATCCTTTTACTGTCACATCCATCTCTTTTTGACACTTGATAACCACTTGTGCCACGTTAGCCCTTTCAACCCATTCAATGCAGAGAGATTGCGTGCTCACAACTTCCACAAAGGCATCCAGCTCACCCCAAATCAAAACCGTATAACGTATCCACATGTAAAACATACCCCATCCACCAGCTTTCCAGCAATCCGAACACTTTTCCCCCCTCTTTTTCCATCATGCTGACGTCGTATTAATTGCTTGTGAATAATCCTCGTAAATAGTAAACGCAAGGAAGGTGATGCAGGGAAATGATACAAGAGCATAAAAAGTTGTCTAAAACAAAAGGATCTCCTGCATTCGATAGCCAGCAAATCAAGCGTGCCAACAGCATCTCGCAAGGTTCGAAGTCGCTGCCAAAGGAAATGACCCATGGATCGTTTGGACCCTTTCGACATTCATCGGCTGGAAGTAGCTGCAATAGAGGACCCTGGATGGGACGATCAGACGAGTATAACTTTTCAAGCTCTCCAATGCGCCCAAGGAACAATACTCAATGCCGTGCTTTCACTCAATGTCGACGTTCATCTGCAAGTGATGCTGCCATCTCACTGACATTGGGTTGTCCAGGTGAAAGCTGGTTTGAAGCAACAACCTCTCTATTCTGAGCCCGAAACGTAATCGATCTAGCATTGCCGATGGCCCCTTCAGGAGGTACCTCTTTGTCTGCATCTTTTATTTTGCCGCTTTTGTGCTTAAGGTTTGTAACTTTCTTATGTCGATAGAGTAGGACACTATAAGATAGTGCTTTTAGTACCCCTAATTAAAGCGTATGGATACCTCAAAGACCCTTTGTGCCAAGGATGATGAATGTCAACTTTTGCTGTTGCACCATGAACACAGCTAGTCATTTTCGTGTCCCCGAAAGTTTTTCCTTTCATATTGAAAAACGCATGTGATTTTACCCCATTGCCAAAAACGCAACAAAGGATCATTTGCCTGATGCAGATGAGAGAATCCAGTTCACACAGCCATCATCTGCCTTCCCACGTCATTAGCAATCGAAATTGATAATGATTCACAGTATCATCATCTTTTTTTTCCTCGATGGGGTAGCATTCCATCTGCGTTGTCAAGGTTACACGAATCAGATCGTTGATAAGCTGTATGCACGTTGACCCGTTTTGATTCAGTTTTCCCCCGCATTCGTTGTCTTCTTTTTGCTTTTCTCTTTTTCTCCCTAACTCTCTCCCTCTCTTCATTATTCTTTCTTCTTTTCCATGTCACCATTGACAGATATCAGCGAGCAGCTATCAACAACAGGCAAGGTGGGCCTTGCGAGCGCTGGCGTATTGGCTCTTTTGATGGCCAAGTATCCAGACAGAGCTATCTTTGACGAGTACCGTGAAGGTATTCCCCATCGTAAAGGCGTGCCATTGTTGGGAATGCTTCCAATCGTTCTTTCCAACCGATATCGATTGCATGACTTGCAACTGGATAACTTTGAAAGTCTCGATTCGTTGACTGTGTATGTTGGTGGTGCCTCTGAAAGTGCGCTATGACTCGAGTGAAACTTACCTGCATTTGTGTTACGTAGAACTTCATCGAGTTTTGGTGTCAAGCGAAGAATTTTTACAATCAATCCAGAGAACGTTGAACATGTGCTTAAAAGTAAGGATCATTGTATCAATTACAATACACACATGCCACAACATGCTTACACGCACCTTTAGATAACTTTGAAAATTATGCTAAAGGACCACAGCTACAAGCCGCTATGCACGATCTTTTGGGACATGGTATCTTTAATGCCAATGGTGCCCAATGGCGTTTCCAACGAAAGGCTGCCAGCTTTATTTTCTCAGTCAAAAACTTCCGTGACCACTTTACAGAGTAAGCATGAACCCCAATGCCCCAACATGTTCGGTTGCTAATATTGTGCATAGCGTGTTTGTGCAAGAGATGCAATACGTAACGGATCATATTCTTGATTCAGCTGCCAAAAACCATCGAGTGGTCGATTTCCATGATCTCATGTACAAGTTTACATTGGATTCATTTGTGCTGTAAGTGTATAATTATTCAACATCATATGCTATCTGCAATAGTAGCCTGACACATCACGTAGTCTCGGATTCGGTGTAAAGTTGCATGGCTTGCAGCAGGAGAAGCAGGTCGAATTCGCGCAATCCTTTGATGTATGCCAACACAAAGCATCGTGGCGTGTAGCTTTCCCATTCTGGAAATCGTATGAAGCGTTGCAGTCTGTATTTGTACCTTGGCGCAAGGGCCCGTCACATCATCTTAAGGTGGTCGACGACTTTGCTTTCAAGGTTATTAAGGAGCGTCGTCAACAAATGGCTGAGGGTCACACATTCAAAGATCTGCTATCCCGTTTCATGAACACAAGAGATGAAAATGGCGAGTTACTTGATGATCGTGGATTACGTGATATCATCATCAACTTTATTATTGCTGGTCGTGACACTACTGCTCAAGCATTATCGTGGACATTTTATAATCTCATGTTGCATCCACGTGTGGAGAAGAAGCTGGTTGATGAGATTTTTGAACATGTAAATGCCGATCTTGAAAGCGACTCACCTGCATTGTATGAAGCTATCAAGGACATGCCATATGCCCATGCTGTGTAAGTATGATGATGATGATGGGTACACACATAAACATGTCGCACACATGACCAACCTATATGCATACATAGTCTTTATGAAGTGCTACGCCTATTCCCATCAGTACCAGGAAATCAAAAATATGCGCTCAATGACGATGTATTACCGGATGGCACCCATGTTCAAGCTGGCGATTACGTAACGTGGCATCCTTATGCAATGGGTCGCTCTACTAAGCTATGGGGTGCTGATGCCAAGAGCTTCAAGCCTGAGCGTTGGTTCAATGAAGATGGTCAACTTAAGCGTGAGTCTCAAGGACAATGGCCAGCATTCCATGCAGGCCCTCGTGTATGCTTAGGTCAACAACTTGCCACATTGGAGTCGCTCGTGGCCATTGTGATGTTGCTACGTCGATACAAGTTTACGCTTGCACATGATCAAGAGGTCACCTATATCACTTCTCTCACATTACCCATGAAGAATGGTATCAAGGTCTTTGTTGAAAAGCGACAATAAATTCAAATTAACTTATGCTTACCTAAACATGGTGTCACAGCAACCGGTGGGTGGGATGGGCTCCTGTGGTTGCTGGGATGCAAAAATACAAATACGCGTCAGCAATCGCCTGTAGATCTAATTCTTTGTTCGCTTTGTTTATCCACAAGGCAAGCTCACCTATGATGATAACCATCCTTGTACTCCGAGCAATCGAGTGGTGTGTCCTCGGATACGCCATCTGCTTTTGCGATGCAGAGAACTTTGTTGGCCAAAAAGATGGGCGTGTGCTGCATCTGCTCATGCGTCTGTCGCATTCTGATTCGAGCTCATTGCTACGTGCTAGTGAACAAGGCGACTCTCCTCACACGATTGTATCCAAGGTCTGTTGTATATATTGAGTCTTATGATAGTGGAAATGGCTGTTGGGGTATGGGTTATATACGCACATTCACGCACTTGTTTTCAGGTAGTGATGGTATTATTCATTGTTGCCATGGACGGGGTCGACTTGGATACAGTAGCTACAAGCTTTCTTGATATATATAAAGGTTCCAATCAACCATGACATTATGCTTTATTTAAAACGCTCAACACTGTGGGGCTTTCAATATGCTCGTCGAGGAGTTGTGGTTCTTGGTGGTTCTATTGTGGACACAGCTAATGGGATGATGACATTTGATACTGGTGGATGGGCTGGAATTGCTTGAATTGCTGGGAGCACAATCCATAGGTGACATCTTGTAATTAAGTAATTCGTCGCACTCTTATCGTTGTGGATTCGGTGGTTAATGCCATTTCAGGGTTGTAGCCTGGCTTGTGAGAGTGGACTATCGCATCTTTTGATAACAAGGTGCCATCTTAATGTTTGACCATTAATACATCCAATGCATCAACAATGACCATTTTCTCATTGAGTATCATAATGTTGCTTTTATTGACCATTTCTACCCTAAAAGTGTCGTCTTACTATCCGGCTGTAAGCAGCAATACATAGCTAAACGCGTAGTTGTAGGCGAGATCAGATATAGTACACCACGTAATCCATGCGTTCATTGCATCAGAAGCTTGTGTATCCTTGTATACATATCCAAATGCGTCCTTAAGCAAGCTGTTTGGGAGACCAGCTGCCAAATGATTCACCACGCTTGTACATGAAAAATCTTGAATCTCATCCGAATCCACTGAGCAACCTTATCAGGGATGGTGCGTCAGGGAGACGATCGGTTGGAGTCGAATCAGCAGGTTCCAGATAATTACAACCATATCTCCTTCAGCACATTGTCAAGGTCTCCATCAACGTTCGCCAAGAGTATCTCAGCAGGAGTGTGATGATAGTAAAGCTCGTACATACGTTGATCACTTGGTACCGAAAGCATGTCTCAGGTGGGGGCCAATCGAACGAGATGATGTGTTGGATATCCTTGTACTCCTTGCAAAGCGTGTACGTTGATGATAACATCTCCATGATCCACTTGAGCCTGTCCATTACATTCCACATGCCTGGATAGAATAAGAAAACACGAACGCCATATCCTTCTTCTGGTTGATCATGGAAGGAAGAGGATGCTTGTGTACGAAAGAAGATGCTGATCAAGAAGGGATGGTCTTTTGGTGCAATACAATGTTGGATGATGTAGTTGACGACTTGTCCGTTGTTGTGTGCGTAGTCGTGTCATTGTTGGATGATACCAGGACGCCTCGTGTAGTGTAATAATGAAATCATAAAACAAAGAAAGCTGAAGGATGGTGAATAAAGAGCTAACGTTGTATACCCATCCCATTACCTTTGAGCAACCCCATTCAAGCCTTCGTACATGATCATGGACCAGTGCTGATGAGTCCTTCCTCATTCTCTGCTTGCATACCAAAGCGTGAACCTCCTCCACTGCCATCATGGTTGCTGGTTGTCGATACCATCCACAAGTCGTTGGTAGCTGTACAAGGATCAATCTGCACACCATGTTTCTTCTTGTCGATAAGGCTCAAGACCACCACTGCAATGCTCTCGCGGCGTGTCATTTGACGTGGGTAAAGGTTGTGGTGTTTGCTCCTATTGGGTTCCTCCAATGTCAGTTTGCAATGGTGCCTTCATGTACGCCTCATTCCATACCTTTCTTATTCTTTTATCCTTCACGGCATTGAGTATCCACGGTCGTTGTCACTGATAAGGAACTTTGAAATGGTGGGTACGTCCATTGGCCGTCATTTGTGTCAAAGGTAAGAATAGCAAAGGAAGAGAATGAACTTTATGCAACGATACACCGCTCTCGATTTAGATATCCTATTTCCCTTCTCGATTTCGGAAGCTCGGGATTGCATTGCACAAGGTTCATAGGCTATGATGACAAGATTCACTCCTATTACGCATGTCGAAAAGAAAAGCAGCTAGAACAATCATAGATGTATTGCATACAAGAAATACAAAGAAAAAGCCTGTTTACAGCATTACAGGCTGATGGTATAAATGACATGAGATCAATGTTGCTGTTGGTGATAGTAAATGATGCTGGTGGGGAATACATAATGATGCACTATGATAAATGTTTTTTTTACAAGGGCCATGCTGCAGGTAAAGGTGATGGTACTTGATTGGAGGCATCAAAGGCAACAGCAGTGTCAAGGTGTTTGGGTGCCTTGTCAAGATGATGATTCCAGGATGGAGACGTGGATGAGAGTGATTTGGTAGTGGAGGGGGATGATGGGAGGCTAGCATCGTTGTTGTTATCTGCACCCGAATCGGCCGATGCTTGTGTTGACGTGGCGTTATATGCATGGACACCTTGATCTGATACAATACCGGCAGTGCTACTGTTGTTTTGTATGGGGGATGGTACCCTAGATGATGATGACGACGACAATGGGGGTTGTTGTTGCTGCTGCGATGATGCTGCATGCCCGTATGCATATGCATACATATTACTATTGCCGTGGGTAGTCGTATCATACATCGTTTCCGATGGCATCGTGAGAGGCTGATGCTGCAAAGATGCCGATGATGATGAAGGGCGATGATGGTGATGGCAATGATGATGAGGTGGATGCCCTAAGGTAACATCTTCCATGTACACATCCATGCTGGATACTATCAATCATGAAAACCAAAAGAATAATAAAAAAAGACATATTGTTTAGATGAATGTGTGTGTGTTTGTTTTTATTGTATCAACAAGTACCTCCTGGTTGAGCGCACGGGCCGCCGCTCGTGGTAGAGCGAGTGGAAAAGCTATCAACAGGTCGCTGGAGTGGATGCATTTGTGGATGATGATGATGATGGTGGTGATGATGATGATGAGGTGTTTGTGGTTGTTGCTGTTGTGTTGGTGATGGATGATAATGACCAAAGTGAGGCCTGTTGTAGTAAGGATAGTAACCATATGTATTTGAAGCAGCAGCAGCAACAGCAGCTGCGTTGGTGGTATGTGGTTGTTGTGGCAACATTGACAAAGCATTTGCATCAGCGGATAAAGAACGACCATCACGGTATCGTCGACCACTAGCGGCAGCTGCAGAAGTTGTGGCACCAGGGTTGAGTGATGATGACCATGATTCAGGACGATAAGGTGAGGGAGCAGGATCACTTCCAGAACGGCTATTACGACCACCACGCATAGACATTGAGTAACGAGAACGGTGTTCAGCTTCAACGGCATTATAGTCAACCACCCAATATGATCCTTTGCCAGGCTCATTAATCGGTCGTGCCACACGTACAAAGCTCTTGTTTAACGAAAGGTTGTGGCGGATAGAGTTCTAAAGTAAAGAAAGAAAATGAGTAACATTGAAAATGATTTTGACACAAAACGTTATTCACACACACACACACACACCTTCCAACCAGTGCCAGCTGTGCTGTAGTAAGGATAGTGTTCAATCACCCACTGGTAAATTTCACTCAAAGTAAGCTTCTTTTGTGGGCTATTTTCGATTGCGTATTTGATGAGAGTGGCATATGAGTAAGGTGGCTTGCCCTCGGTATTCTTTTCCACGTGGATGTCCTTGGTTGATGGGGTGCGATGTCGCTTGGGATGTGTAGCAGTGCTGCTGCTGCTTGTGCTTGCTTTTTCACATGATGGTGTGGGTGTTGGTTGTCCATGATATGGCAACTCGTGTGTGGATGATGCCGATGGCGAAATGCTATCTTTAGGAACAGCCGGCAGCTGTTGATGTGGTGTTGGATACATCCATGAGCCATGACCACCCATACTTGCGGCTGAGTAAGAGCTGGTGGTGGAAATGGATCTACGTGAATCCATGTCATCATGATGTGTATTGTTGTGGTCAAGCATGCTAAGGCTTCCACCATTAGGTTCAGGCAAATCGGTTGCAGCAAAGTGGGCTGCTGCTGCGGACATTGGATTGACAGCCGCTGTTGTGATGGGTGGTAGCTGTGTATAAAAGCCTTGATTTGTGCTATTGGTTGTAGGTGTCGAGACATTGTTATGATGATGGGTGGTGGCAGTAGCTGCTGCCGCTGCTGCTGCTGCAGGATCGGCTTGATGGGTTCCGAAAGGATGGGGTGCTGGTGCTGGTGGTTGTGAATACATTGGGCCGTGCATAGTCTACACACACATCGAAATGGTATCAGTGATCAATGCTCTTCTGGAAAAGTTCGTAAAGTATGTAAGGTGTGTACCATTGGCAACAACAAAGGGAGAAAAGCAAGAGGAAGAAATACGTAAATAAACGGCAAGCTTGTTTTAAATGAACAGACGAAACGGGATTAGGGGTTGTGGATGCTTTGGTCAGGTGGCCATTGCCCATTGTGTATGATCCATAATAGCCACCAGCCAATCTCACTCATTCCTGATTTTGTTGCTGTGGTGCTGGTGTTCCCCTTCCATGTTTGAAATCATGTAGCTCTCGACTGATTTTTTGCATTCAATAGATGCTTTGCCCTGCCGTGTACCTTGCATGCATATTCTCTATCTTCTCTTGGCAAGGATGGTGATCCACAAGAACCTTTTTCTCCCCCAATCCTTTTTGCATGTCTAGTTCCCTGGGTTTCAAAGCATAAAAGGTGGTGAAAATGGTGGTGATGATGCAGTTGTCCTTTTAGCGAAGAGTATCCGTAAATGGGTGTTGCATGCGGCAAAAACTCTATTTTGGCGCGGATACACCATTCTACTTTTTGCCTTACCCGGGATCAACTCCCGAGCCTTCTCGGCTCATTCCACGCCTTTTCCGTTGCACGGCAGTAATCAACGTACCTTTCGCCATGTCGTGTTTCCTTGAACAACGTCGTATGTGCACGGTGCAGCTTATAATGAAAACACGATACAAAGGGGATCCGTTGTGGAGATGAATGCATCAAGTGGCAATAGCGGGGATAGATGGAACCTTCCGCCACATCTCCCACTCAAGCTCTGTTCCCCTTCTTTGCGACAGATAAACAAAAATCTTAATCAAAGACGGAATATGAACGCAACTTGAGAAGAACAAAGAGAGGGAAACATAGCTCATTCCTCCTCTTTTCATAATCTTCCAACAATGGTGCTTACTTTATTATTTGCGGTTTCACCAATGCAGGTATGATAGCCGACACCAACATACACGCACAAAACAACAGCTGAACACATTCACGAAATGTGTGTATATGTATGTACATTTGTGTGCCTCGGGTGTCAGGCGTGGTGCAAATAAAGATCTCTATTTTATTTGGGCGTGTCACTTTCAAGCAAGCAGGAGAGAGAATAACCATACTACAACACGCTGCTACCTGGTGGATTGATGTGTTTCAGCTTTTGCTTGATATGGTCAGATGTATTGGGGGGAGTAGGACAACGGAACGCCTTCATGTTGCAAACAAGGCTGTGTGTTGCTCTGATGCATGACAGGGTGGTTCTTTCTCCGCATGTTGCAATTGTCATGTCAATGCTTGGCTGGCTTGGAGTTTTCATGATGGTTATACAAGGAAAACGCCCATCTCGGAACGGAATACCTGATTATGGAATAGCACCAATCCCACTTGTGGGCCACATGAACAAAAAAGCCATCCCTGTTTCTGCAACAGAGAAAGTCTTTGGGTCGGCATCTTTCCGATCTTGCATCTAGACACTCACACACACGCTCTCTTATCAGCCAACCATGTTGCTTTCTTTGTACAAACGCCGAGGAATCCCCGTTTTATTCTTGTTATGAGAAGGGAGTGAGAGAGAAAAGTGCTAATCACCCGATTGCATAACACTCTTTCGCGTGATACTTGATAAAACCTTCTATTTACACCGAGGATGAAAGGTTGTTGGAAAAAGACCACGGGTTCTTGTTTCCCATCATCACCACCCACAATTCCCCCCTTGAAAGTCAAAATGATATATCATCATCAGCGTGGGATAAACAAAGAGATTGATCAATGGTGTAGATATCCCTAATGAATATGATAAGATCGGCATGTGCCTGGTAATTGTTTAATTGTTGATGGTAAACACACACACACACACACATATATATATACACAAATTTCATCTAATATCGGATATCTATGCTGCCTAAACCGGTGGTCAGTGCGACGATTGAAAACATTCGACCCCAATGCAAATAAAGATATTGGCGGTGGCTGTATTTTGAGGAGGAGATAGTCATATCAAAAGAGAGGATATTGCTCATAGCCGCTGTCATTATCGTTATCGTCATCTTGCTTGATCATACGCCAGTTGGTTTGATAGCGAGCATCTTGAAGGACAAAATGATACCAAAGAGGAGCGACAAATATGGTAGACATATGCCACAAGCTGTGAGCATCAAAGACTCGCCACAGGGGTGGGAAATCAAACACTTCAAGCATAACAGTAGCAGCATTGGCAGCGACATAATAAACTACCCAGTGCTCGTACATGAGTTGTTGCCGATCCATGTCGTTTCTCCTGCATTGCCATGCGACAACCAGATACCAAATAATCCACAGCGCGCCTTGAATAACAGCAATGGTACCACATGCAATCATGTTGTATACATAATTAAATGACACCAATGACATGTACAATACGTGGGCCAAGTACAACAGCATCAATCCACCGGCAATTGTTACTTGATGTTCTCGACGCTCAACACCAAAGATGCGTAGGATGGCGTAATATAGAGAATAGATGATAGTCAAGGCGGCACCAAAGTAATCCAAGCGCTCGGTTAGTGACACATCTCTTGAATGGAAGATGCTGGATTGGATCCATGTGTTGATATTGATGGCAGCATACAGGATGACAAAAGGTCGCATGTACCAGCTTGATGGCGGTATTTCTCGCAGCGCCACCCGCAAGTAATAAAAGTGCACCAATCCGTTGCCAATGGAGAATGCTACTGACGCTGGTTCTTGTATGCCAAACAATCGATAAAATGGCCATTTGCCGTAAAATTGCAGCATGGGTGAGTGCGTATCGGTGTATGCGTGCATGCAATTGTATCCACAATTGTCAGGGCATGTCCAGAAATAGGCTCGTAGGTACAATGGTAAGTTGCTGCTATCGTTGTTGCTATCACAATCTTGCAGGGTGCAGTTTCCCAAACAGTCGATAAACTCGGGCATTTCATCGCCTTCAAGGGCATTGACTCGGCCAAAGCATAGGATTACGACCCATACGAATGCAAAAAGACAATGCACTCGAGACCATGGCATTGCAATGAGCGAAATGAGAGACACAGACAACGTTGACCTCGCCGAAAAACCGAAATGCTGACAATGTCCATGAGTGGTTACACATGGTCGGTGGAAAGAAAAGCCGTGCCGATATCTTTGGTTGTTGAGCTTTCCATGGCTTCCTCCCTTTTACTTTTGTCTCCGCGTATCAACACTTGCCACTGCCACCACAATGAAACCAGCTGCTGCCAATCAGGTCGACAACTTGATGTATCTCGATGACTATATCGATAGTGAGTGCTTTGAAAGAACAAAGCAGACGCTTCTTACGTGATTGGCTCATTGGCTGCTGCTGCTGCTACTCTTTGTTTTCTAGCCATTGAAGCTCTTCCTTTGGAACTGCAACGCAATTTTACACTGCTACGCGAATTGGATGGTTACGCTCAAGGTTAGACAATGACGTCCTTCACAACGAACGCTACGTTGCTTACTCGTCTCAATAGAGCTCGTTGAAAATGTGGCCAAGGAGTCCATTTCGCTGATCAACACCATTCGAGACCTTGATCCCAACGATCGCATCGACAAGCTCAAGCAACTGGGAAGCCTTTTGACAGAAACACTCAAGCGAGGGGAGGAAAAAGTGGCTCTTGCAAAGACAACATTCGATGCTGTATGTCAATAGAGAAGGGTGTTGGGTTGGATGGACATGGTGAATGTATGACTAAATCCATTTATATTTTATTTCAGGTGGAGCGACACTGCAATCGATTGGATGCTGATCTTGTCAAATTTGAAGAAGAAGCACCTTTGGGCCGCGAACGTATCACTGCACAGCCTGGTTTGGCACCATCGGCACGTAGCTTGTTGCGTGAAGTTGCCAGGGACAAAGTTGCACGAGCATATGAACGGGATCGTAAAGAAGGCAAGGTGGATAAACGTGGTGAGTTGATCTGAGATTGGGGTGTGTGTTTGTTATGGGAGCTAACAATCATTCTTTGTTGTTCATCTGCAGATAATACAGCATCCAAGAGTAAGCTATAAATGACGAGGCAATGGATCCAATGGATTAATGGGTTTCTCTTTAGAGCGTAAGTTGAAGGATGGCTCTCCCCCACCTGGATCAATGCGCTCCCAAGCCATGAAGGAATCTAGAATCAAGTTGGATAAGAAGAATATGAATTCTGGTAGGTTGACGATGAATCTCCGCATACGCAACACAGCATTAACCTTGGCATTCATTGGCTCAAACAGGCAAAAAGGTCAAGAAGTATGTCTTTCTTATCACTGGTTCGTAATGATCTTGAGGACTAACCAATTGCAAAGTAGTAGCTCTATTCCAGCCGAATTACCTATCGATCCAAATGAACCCTTGTACTGTTATTGTCAGCAGGTGTCTTATGGCGAGATGGTTGCATGTGATAACACTGATGTAAGTATTTGGGAGGGATGGTCACAGGTATAGCCGTTCTAGGAGTAACGTTTTCTTTCTTAGTGTGAGATTGAATGGTTCCACTTGGCTTGTGTTGATCTCAAAACGGTGCCCAAAGGGAAATGGTATTGCAATAACTGTGTCAGCAAGATGAAAGGCAAGAATCGCAAGTAGTGATCTCCAGGTGCTTCCTTCTCTGTGTACATAGTCATCATCTCCATCCACCACTACTCTCACCCATTTTTCTATTCAACATTCTTTTTGATCTTTTGCTACTCTTTTGTTGTTACTCGCTCTCAACTTTTTATCTTCCTTACTTTGTTTTGCTCGTATACCATACTTTGACTCATAAACGTAACATGAAAAGCTTCTATATATGCGTGATTCTCTCTTGTGTCCTTAAGTCAATATCATGGCTCGTGAAAAGAATTGTGCGATGCGCTGTCGATTTCGTAGTAATCATAACGGCAAAGCAGACTTGAAGATGTCCAATGGATGCGTTTGCTGAGAAATGCATAAGCAAGTTACGAACTTGATTTTCCGACGACTAGCTTCCCTTTCGGCTATGAAGACAACATTACGAGCTCAAGGCTGGTGTATCAGCGATGAAGGACTGGCTACGCTGCAAGAGCAAGTAGGGCCTGAAGCCACGATCGATGACATTGTAGCAACAGCTCTCGATGCAAGTAGTATACAATCAACACGTTTATTCATGGACACACGCTCATTGAACACAACTCTCTACAGCTTGATCTACGTCAAATCGGCGGTGACCCACCTAGTATCAAGGGCAACACAGAATTGGCTGGTCCTCTGGTGCTTGAGTTGCTCGAAGTACGCAATGTGGCAATGCCTAGTACGCACCAAGTCGAGAAACCACGTCTGTTTCGCGTGACATTTACTGCTGGTGGAAAAAAGAAGTTCACAGGTGTCGAGTTTTTGGGTCCTGTTGATTGCATCACGTAAGGTTGCTATGGCAACATTGAGGATATCATGACTTACAAGTGTGTGTATAGGCTTATGACACCTCCTGGATCCAAGTTCATGGTCACCAAACCTATCCAAATCAGGGAACAACTGCTGCTTCTTGGACCAGGGATGCTTAAACCCCTTGGTGGACATGTACAAGAGATGGTGCATGCTTGGAGATCTGGTAAAGTAAGTCATAGGGATTCGTGTATGTTTTTATTATCAATGTATACTTATATACAAAGCTATAGCAATTTGTTAAGCGGTTCCGAGGCAAGCAGATCAATGATGAGAGTGGTGAACAAGATGCTGGTCCACCTCCGTTTGTGCCATTCAAGATTGATACAAAGAGAGCCATCAATGAGAGACGTCAACCAAAGGATAAGGAACGTGGTGCCAAATCATCTGGTTCAGCATCTTCTACCAAAGGTCAACGACAAGAGAGCAAGAAGGACAATGCACGATCCAAAGACAAAAAGAAGGAGCGAGAAGCTGGTGCTGGTAAAGATGATGGCTCTACCAAGAAAAAGGACAAGGACAAAGATCGACCACGCAAGGATAAGAGCAAAAAGAAGGCTTCGACAGGGGATGGAAAGGCACCAAACAATGGAGACAAACAACCTGATATCAACAAAGGCAAAAAACAACGACCATCCACAAAACATGACGATTCTCAGCCATCCAACACTGCTCAATCAAAAGAAAGTAGCGGCAAACCAAGAGAAAAGAGAGGTGATAAGCCAAGACGTAAAGACAATGATCAACGCAAACAAGGACCATCATCTGAAGGAGCTCAACCAGAAAAGGCAAACAATGGTGACAAGCCAAAAGAGAGGAGGAAGCCAAATCGCAAGCCCAAAGATACCACAACCACAACCACAACCACCAACAATGATGATACGAAGCGACCTGATGCACGACCCAAGAATGAGGATAGCAGGAAACGAGGAAAGCCATCACCATCAAAAGAACGACAAAAGGCATCTGATGATGGCAACAGCAAACCTAGTAATAGACGCCGACCCAACCAAAGGAACAATAGTAAAAAGGATAAGGATGATGGTATTGAAAACAAAAAATGAATAAATAAAGATTGATGGGAATCCTATGCTATTGGAATAGGCTTTTTACGGTTCTTGAGGATGGTAGCTTTGCCGAGATCCAATTGAAAACCTTGTTGAGCTGGTTTCTTTGCACTTTGTCCAATTCCAGTGTATCCTTCTTCTTCATCTTCCTCTTCCAAAACACCTCCCAATTTGCGTGCTTTTTCTTCTCCAATGCGTTGGACTGCATAAGTGATATCCAAGATTTCCTTAATTGATGCGACACCCGGTGAGAATGCATCCTTTCTTCGTCGGGATTTGTTATTGGTATCGAGCTCAGGGGGTATTGAGGCTGTGGGAATAGGCGATGACACTGGAGGTAGCATAGGTTGCTGCTGCTGGGTGATCCATGGATGTCGTAGGAATTCATCAATCGTATATCGTTCTTCTGGATTGACGCACAACAAATGGGTGATCAAATCCTTGGCAGCTGTAGAGATAGGATCCCACCATGGACTCAAGAAGGTATATTGACCACGAGCCACCTTTTGAGTGAGAGCATTGATCGACTCGTCATAAAATGGAGGAAAACCGCACAACATGGTATACAAGACACATCCAAGGGCCCACATGTCCACTCCTTTGGTATACTTTTGATCACGCACAATCTCAGGAGCAGTGTATCCCACAGTACCACAAGGCGTCAATGTTGGATTATCCCAAATCACCTGTTGTCATCATCATGTATAGAGAGATTAGTATCATCACTATCGCCGACACTCTGATAACAGTATTGTTTACCTTGCTTAATCCAAAATCAGCCAACTTGACCAAACCAATGCCGCCACCGCCAACGCCTGGTAGAAACTCGCCTTCATCCATCTTGTCTTCATCGAATAAATTCTTGGGATTCTTGGACGGGATGATTGGAATTGGTTCAAAGAGGATGTTCTCAGGCTTGATATCACGATGTACAATGCCACACTCTTCATGCAAATATCGAATGCCCTGAGCCACTTGGGTGATGACATGACGAGCGACATCTTCGCTAAAGTAGGTCAACTTCACAATCTGGTGAAACAGCTCGCCGCCCTTGCATAGCTCCATGACCAAAAAGTAATAGTCGTCTGATTCGGAGAACTGAAGCAGTTGGACCAAGTTCTTGTGCTTTCCTCGCTGCATGATTTGCACCTCCTTCATAATAGTCGCACGCTATCCATCCATCCATCCATACATTAGTATATATCCTCTTGATTCAAATACATCTTGTTTTACCTCAGTGGCACGAGGCTTCTTTTCCTTCAAACTTGAATGCAAATGATGGGTTTGTCCATGCTAAGGTTGATGGTTGTTGTTATGTAAGCTGTCAGATTCATAAGTGGAGACATGTCGATATATGTACCTTGTCGATTGCATGCTTGCGTACCACCTTGATGGCAACATGTTTCCCAGTAGACAGGTCTCGAGCTTTATATACGATTGAGAACGCGCCACTACAGGATCATTCATGTTGCATTAGCCTTCGTTTGGATAGCATGTCAATATCGCTTCTCACATACTCGCCAAGCTTATCCACGATATCGAACCGCTCTAGACCCGGGTAGATTGGAAATCGCCGTTTACGAAGACGTTCATTCTCAATAACTTGACGAGCTGTGATGGCTGCAGCGTCTTGTAGTTTGCTTGTCAATTCGTCATTGTGGCGATGTTGACCATGAGAGTAGTTGTAGAATGCCATGTGTGTAAACCAGGAACACAACGGCAGCAGTGGAAGGTAAAAAAGAAAAAGGAAATAATAATACGTCTCGCGCGTTCCTCTTCACTCGCTCCCCTTCCCTTGATTCTCCCCCAAAACGACCACAAACGCCCTTTCACGCGCGCCATTGTACACACACACGCATGTATATAGGTCACTTTTTGTTTACCAAAACATGATCCTGACACACTCTCCCATATTAAATGATGACACTTTTTCTCATACGCGAAGCATTCTTGGCTTATTCATCATGTGTGTCGCCATCGTTGTTGTCACATTGACTTTATCTACTACTCTACCGATGTTGCTTTCCTGGGTGTGTGTTGTATGGTACCTGCGTTAAAAATTATATCACATTTCCCCCCAAAGCAGTATGGTGATCTCCCATATCTGAAAGTCATGTCATACTCATGTCATAGCACGTGTTCTTATACACAGCACAACACAAGATGCAGCAGTGCACGGATGTACATATAGCATCTTCAGGCTCATGATTCGTATATCACTGAAGCTCTTTCTTTTGTTGATGGAGCCACATCCTGTCATCATTATCATGCTCATATCCCCAAAGCAAAAGATAATAGCCATTAGATGGGCACCTATGGTGTGGCATTAAAAAGGAAAAAGATGTCGTAAACGACGCACATACCTTATCACAAGGTCACCAGCATAGCTCATGTTCATCTGCACGGGCGTTTTACCTTTTACAATCAATGATGAAAGTGTACCATGATAGGTTTAAAAGCATTGCAATACGTATTGTGTGACACACGCATCATTTATCCCAAGACGCTGATATGATTGATAATGTGCATGTACTTGTTGTGCATGTATTTCAATGTTGATCAGCGGAGAAGGCTTTCATGTTTGTCGCAAGAATGTTTATTTTCTATTGCCCTTGACTAGTTTCCATGGAGATGTAATGAATAACATGCACCATCACCGATAAATACCTTGGTGGTCGTGCTGTTCAGAACCAAGGATATCATAATGATGAGACATCTAACTACGACAAGGCTCTACCACTACTGCAACATTCCCGCTATCCAAATTGGGCGTATCCCCTACGCTATTCTTTAGAGATCATATTGAGCGAGATAAAAGTTGGAGGACCAAAATCGTAGTATGCTGTGCTATGCTCTTAATCTTGGTATTAGACTACCAGGTAATGTAAATTCATTAGAGTTGAAACTTCACCTCGTTATTGCATAATCGAATCATGAATCCTTATTGTAGTTTGAGCCCACATGCGTTAATGAAAAGTCCTTTAATCATAGTATGTGTATTGCATCCATGTCCTACGATCATGGTTTCCATGTCGGATCAATGACACTTTGGGAAGGTTGTATTAAGGCATATGGTAGTACCGACATCTCGGAGATCATTATGCCGTCCATGCGTACCACCAGCATAATCAACCAGGGTGATAATGTGTGACATGTAAACATCATGTTGGTTTCAAGGTTTTGGAATCATAAAGTGATTGAGATAGTGGGTTTAATGATGCGGATAGAGTAAAAAACAGCGAATGAACAAATGTTATACAAGTATGATGCAGGGGGAAAAGGGAGTATGAGTATATGTAAAAAGGCAACTTTTTTAGTTGGCCTTCTTAGAAGCCATGGCAGCAGCAATGCGCTTACCATAGGTGCGACGAGCAAAGTCAACGAAGAGATAAGTAAGGGGAAGGAGGTAACCGACATTGAGAGAGACGGCAAAACGCTGACCAGGAGTATCCATGCAAGAAGGGACAAAGAGGTAGCTGACAGCAAGAGACATGCCAATAATAAATTGGCTGATTTGGATCGAGGTAAGGTATCGTTTGCCAGGTGGATGAAGACCAATACAAGTAGCGGCATAGTAGCAGTACATGATGGAGTGGACGAATGAGTTGAACAAAACAAAGATCCAAATTGGGGTTGCGCGGTAGCGGATACCAGACCACATTGTTAAAACGGCTCCACTATGGTGATATCTAAAGGTTGAAATACTCATGAGTCATCATCACCTATAATAGAAAAAGCAATAACAACATACGTTTGCAAAAGAGACGAACGGCGTCCTTTGGAGAGAATGATAGCAGTGTCAATGAATTCGTAAAACTTGGAAAGATAAAAGATGTAGCCCCAATAACCAAGAGAGTCGTTCCATAAGTATTCATCTTTGTCACAGTACTATTGAAGCGACCATGTTAGCCTCTGCTTCATCCCTCCCAACAATTGATTTTCATCTTTAACACTTACAGCATCATGCATACTGATATCACGCTGGAACCAAGATCTGTTGATACCTCGAGCCATATGATAGAATGTAATCATGGAATAGATGGCAAGTGCAAGGTTGTGCAGGAACACAAAGCTAGTCATCAATGGATTGCTTTTGGATGATTTTTCAGCAACGCCTCGATTTTTGGCCTCGACACGGGAAAGCTTGCCAGTTTTTGGGTTGAGGAGATGGATGGTCAATGCATACGCACCAGCAATAACAATGGGAGTTTTCCAATCCATGAAGAATTCATAGTATTGTGAGAATGGAACTCCGGGGATCATTTGGAGCTTGTCGATCTCCTCGAGGTTAGGCATAGTATGCACAGCTTGTGCCATGATGATGATGATGAATAAACAAAAAGAACAAGTGAATAAGAAGAAAAGAAGAAACAAAAGATAAACTCGGTGGATTTTTATCTATGAAATGGAACATCTGCCAAATTTTTTTTTCGCTGGCAGACCACTCAACCTCCACACACAATTCGAATATCAAAACTCAGATGTCCCCAAGCTTTGGGTTTCAGGCACATGAATTGTATTGGGAGAATTGGGCTGTATCAAGTAAAAGACAAGGTGCATATGTGTGTATGATTCTAGGTACTCTAAGATTGTGTAGGCTTCTTATCCATACGGGGACTAACGTACAATGCTCTAGCTTCCGTCAATAACGTTCCATTATCAGCTGTCTCGATCCATGCATTGGCATACGCCTTGCGACCTTCAACACGATCAAATTTGCCGCGGACTACAATCCATTGATCCGCTTTGACAGGCTTCCGGTAATCGACCGTTAAGTTGGCTGTGAATCCAGTGTAATTGGGCAAGCTTGGAAGTGTCTAATAAAAAAGTGTCAAAAGTAAAGCCGATTGTTAATTTCCGACACCATCACACACGTTGCTATGCACGACCCCCTAATTGATCGATCGATCGAGATACAACAACAACCTCCCCTTCCTCCTCCCACGCTTCCCAATTGCACTTACAATATATGCCAAATGTTCATCAAGTAACGTTGCCAAAAGACCTCCATGTACAATGCCTTCATGGCCACATCTAAATACAAGATCATGTCATCATCATCATTAGTCATCTTCTTATCGCCCTTTGACAGCTTCCAAATGTAAAAAGTACTTACAAGTTTCTACCAAGATGAGCAATGATGACGCATTCGGTTTTGCTTTCGTTGAAGAACTTGAGGGGTCGTATAGCAATCTTTCCATCACCTCGCAACGTGCTGGCTGTCAATGATCGAGCACGTGCAGAGTCTGACAAATGACCATATGCCACCACTTCAAACCACTCTGGTGCCTTTCTCAATTCTTGTACGATATCAAGGGATTGCTGTTGTTTGAAAAGGGCTTCTTGTTCAGGTGTGAAGGGACCTTGATCACTTTGAGCTGCTGCAAGCTCGGCATTGGGGCCATGTCCATTGAGCGTTTCCACAGCAGTGGCAGCGACATGCATGGAGGCATTCAGGTTAATGCTTGGCAACAAATTCTCGGTAGCTTCGGGCATTCTGGGTCGATGTGCTGAAATGAAAGCGTAATAAGAGCGGGGAAGTGGTAACGAAAAAAGGGGGAAATATGTCAATGTCGCTGCATGTTTGTGTGGGGGGAGATGTTATACCTCGGATAAGAATTGACGAGAAAGGACGTATCAATGGCTTCTGATTGGTCAGACAGAGCCGATGGTTAGCAATAGCAGCAGCAGATGAACAAGGGAGCTTCTTGCTTTGAGCAATCTGGGATAGCAGCCGTAGATGCATAAAGGCCTGTGCCTGATAAAGATTGAATGTGTAAAAGAAAAAAAAAGACTCTGACTATCAAATGCTCATCCCCGGCTATTCATTCACACGGCTGCGGATGATTAGGTGATGGGCGGACTGAAAAGAAAGCATTTCTTTGTCTTTGACGAATACAATGAAAGAATGATCGGAACACTGCCGTGATGGATTTGGATGTGCATGTTGTTGTAATCAGCCACCATAGTCAATGCATTCATTCATCTCCCTTTATCATGACCCCCTTGCTCCCAATATTATCACCACCCATTCATTATTACCTATCTCCCCAAACATTGTTGTGTATCATCAATTGTTGGGTTTATATTCCTCTTGCCTCATCATCACATGGTCATCGTTTCCCGATAAGCGGCAATACTATAATGCATTTCACGCTTTGACGTATGTATGTATGTGATGACAAGCAAACAAAGTATGCAGACGCGATGCAGCAACAAACATCTATTGTGTCGAAAGGCAAACATTGCATGCAACTGTACCCTGCTGCACACAAGCTTCTTCATTTTGCTATTTGAACCCTTTGTCAATGCGCACTCCTTTTTGATCGTTTCTCTTCCCTCAATTCAATCTGCTTTTTCTTGGTGCTTGTGTGCGTGTTGCGCGTGTGTAACCCACCACCACCACACATTTCCATATAATCTTTGCCTTACACACAACACACAACACACTAACCACGGATCTCGATTTACCCCATTCTTCATCACCACGATGCCAGGTGTAACCACAGCGTCGGCATTGACATCATCGATACATTACCAGCCATTCCGATACCCGCCACCATCACAGCCATCAAGTTGCTCAGAGGAAATTGATGACCTAGCATCCTCCTATCTTGCCATCACTGAATTTCTTTTCAAGGAGTCGGGGGAATCAGGGGGGAATCATTCAAAAAGTAACGTTTCCACACCACCACCACCACAAGAACAGCAACAGCTATCAATCAGAAAGCAAGTATGTTGTAAAGGTGATCAAACGATGCGTGATCTTGATGATGTTATGGTGGCAGTATCAGCAAAGAAACGTTCGAATGGAAGGTACTGTATTTGGTTTGACAAGTATGTGTGTGTGTCGGCATTCTATTGTGATGCATGCTCAAAATTAATAATGGCAGAGATGCTAGCATGGATGCTGCCGACAGCTATTTAAGACCTATTTTGGCACCACGTGAAAAAGTCGTAGCAGCAGCAGGACATCAAGTGGATAATGATGGCAACGATGAAGAACGACAGCGACCCATGTCTTGGCCACCTGCAACAAGGACTCCGTCTTTATCATCCATGCATTTCAATGATGACCGAAAGTCTACCGCAGTGGATATTAGAATGTCTCCTCCTCCTTCCTCAAAGTCATCCACCACCTCCTCCTTATCTGCCACCACAACGACAGCACTTGCCTCTGTATTAGATGGCATGAAAAGGGATGAGACGTTTGATCGACATGTTACAGGGGCACCAAAAACAGCATCATCTGGCCATGATGATGGTGGTGGTCAGCAGTTGCCATCCTCATCAATATGCATCATCCGAAATGACTACGATGCCATATTGCATTATCCCTCATCATCATCATTGAATATAAATAATCCATCAAGAATGAGTGATGATGCCATTGATCCTTTGTATGGGATTTTACGGAGCATTTACCATGCTGAGAAACAAATGATACGTCGAATGGAAGCACGTCAATCATCTACAACAACAACAACATCCAGCAATGAAACAGCAGCACGTTCTTCTCCGCCAAGAGATCGACGGGGATTACGTAGGTCGCTTTCAAATCTTGTTCTCACGTGCAAGGGTAATGAGAAGAACAAGAAGAATTCTTGGTGGCTAAAGTCAGTGATTCGTGGGAGATTTGCTCAGGATAAACAAAGCAATGATGAATATCCACCACGCTTTTCCCTATCGAGACGTTTGTTGGCTTCGTTACCAGGAACCAAAACAACACGACTAGCAACCCTTGTTTCACGTTCAAGAAGCGATCTGCAACAACAACAACCACCAAGTTTACCTGTCCACATGCAACAATCTGTGTATCGCATGTCCCATCTCAAGTTAGCTAATCCACAACGCCCATTACTTCAACAAGTGATGATTTCGAATTTCATGCATTGGTGTCTTGCAGTTCAACCATGGTAAACGCTATAGTGTGTATCCCATTATCGGATGTACGGCCAAATAGGTACAATGTCCGCTCATTACATATATCACACCTTGTGGATCATATCCACACGCACACACTCACACACATACTCCCATATGAATAAAAAGAAGATGATGTTGTATATTTTTATGCATGTAGACATATGATTTATGAGCTAGTGATGAGTATTTAGACGACCCCTTTAATGTATCAACCTGGTCTAGTACATGGCGAATTGAACATGATGTTGATGATGAATGATGATGATGAATTGTTTCGCCGCAAAGGAAATTCGGCATGCTGAGAGGAAAAATGGCTTGCCCTTTCTCTCCTCTTTAATACAATCAACATATGGGAAACAACATATCCAAACGCAACGGCAAGAAGGGAGGAGGAGTAGGCAATGGACGACGCACAACGAAAAGCATGCCTCCGCCTTCACGACCCACTGCAGCAACTGCCGAGGATAACGAATACAGCGTCAATACTACCCAATCAGTCAACTCGATTTTACTCAACTCACAACATCGGCAATCGCTTCCTCCAGGAGGAAGACCTTCATCTGCTGCTGGTGGTGGTGGAGCATCGGCCTTGGCACAGTTGAATCCAGACTATCCCATTCGAGATAAACAACAGCAATCGGGCAACGATGATGAGGACGAGCAGCAAGATACTATTCAAGGTGGTGTCAATGGCCAATCTCGGGATCCATTTGGCGGCAAAGTGGCTCACCCACAGCAGCATAAACTATTGGCAGCGTCTGATTTTTGGCCTCCTCAAGGCATGACTGGTGCTCCCGACAACGACACGCTCAACAATAATCAATTGACGGTTGGCTCCATGAATCAACTCACCGTCAACTCGGTCGCTAGTTATAATACGCCCGCTGTCACTCAAGCAGAGATCGATGATTACATTGAACGGCTCATCAATGCTGGATATACAAAAGTATCAAGACATTTGTGTCTCAAGAATAGTGAGGTGGTTGCCATCTGCCGCTCCGCTATGGAAATCTTCCTCAATCAACCTGTAAGTGTCCCCGCCCCCCTGGTATCCATGCAACAAGAGAAAATTGAATTAACATTCGTAATAGTCCTTATTGGAATTATCGCCACCTGTCAAGATCGTCGGTGACACTCATGGTCAATATACGGATCTCATTCGCCTTTTCGAGATGGGCGGGTTCCCACCAAGCAGTAACTACCTGTTCCTAGGCGACTATGTGGATCGTGGCAAGCAGAGCTTGGAAACCATGTTGTTGCTTTTATGCTACAAGATCAAATATCCTGAAAACTTCTTTTTACTACGTGGTAATCATGAATGTGCCAATGTCACAAAAGGTTAGTAGCAGTACTTGGGGAAGGATGATGCACGAATACTTTTATTAACATGCCTCGTTCAAAAGTGTATGGCTTTTATGATGAATGCAAGCGTCGCTTGAACACCAAGATGTGGCGTACTTTTGTCGATACATTCAACACTCTCCCTATCGCTGCATTGGTGGCTGGCAAGATTTTTTGTGTACATGGTGGTTTATCACCTTCGTTGCACAACATGGATGAAGTCCGCAACATTCAACGACCTACCGATGTACCTGATTATGGGTTGCTCAATGACCTATTGTGGTCAGATCCATCCGATGTCACTGTGGATTGGGAGGATAATGAACGTGGTGTATCATATTGCTTTGGCAAAAAGGTGTTGGATGAGTTCCTTGCCAAATTTGATCTTGATTTGGTCTGCCGTGGACATATGGTAAGTGACATTGGATGGGTGGATGATGTTTGAAATGCATGGCTAATGACGCCCCTTTTTCGTGTAGGTTGTTGAGGATGGCTATGAGTTCTTTGGTGGTCGATCTTTGGTGACCGTGTTCTCTGCACCCAACTATTGTGGCGAATTTGACAACTTTGGAGCTATCATGAGCGTGAGCGAGGAATTGTTGTGCAGCTTTGAGCTGTTAACGCCGGCTGATCATCCACTAGCCAAAGAATGTTCCAAGAATCAAAAGAGGTCCAGTGGATCATTAACCAATGGACGATAGATACCAAGGCACAAAAAAGCAATTGTATATGCACAACAACAACCACATCTATCCCTTTACTTCTCAACCCCCCTTTTCGCACTCGAGACACTTATTAGACATTTTTCTTTACTATACCTTACTTGAACCAGCCATTCAATCTCCTCCACTCACACACACACAACACACTTATTTACTATTTCTTTTTTCTCTTTCTCTCTTAAGGCGTAGTCTGATACCGATAAACACAGGATCTCAATGTTACAATAAATGCTATTGTTTAAAAGCAAAAAGGAGTTGAGTTATAAGGGTATGGTATAGTCAATGGATCAAGATGCGAAGGTATTTCTCAGTCGTGTGAAATCAGAATTCATTGTCATGATGATGTTTGGATCATCAATGGCATATTTCGAATGTTTTGAAATGTCATCAGCCATAGATGGATGAATGGTGTAGCAGCACGTGGCCATGTTTAACAAAGACCAGGGTGTACCTATTGTGTGAGGGTGGGAGGGAAAGATGATGGTCATTGTGTAAAATGATGGGGGAGTGGGATTTCAGGTACAAAGACTATTACTATCAAGCACAGACATGGGCCACACTTATCCACCGGGAGTTTCAGGGAAGATACTACAATTCGGACGTATATATTCAGTTTTGCACCTTTCCCCAACGCGCACCCGATTCGCTCGGCAGCAATTTTTTTCCCAGCCAGCAGCTTTGGTTTGACTGCACCTCACCCGTCTTTTCCCCTTTCTCTTCTTTTGTGTCCAACCCAAACAACAATGACCTTCCTCTCATCGCTTCACCGCATCGCTCCCATTGCTGCCACTGCTAGACGCGCTGTCAAGCCCGCTTTCTCTTCTGCTTATGCTGTCAGCCAACAACGTTTCAACTCGAGCAGCACTGTCGAGGTAACAAAGAAAAAAACAAGCAAGCCAAAAAACAAAGGCTTGTTGACAGGTTCATGGATATTGACATGGCTTCGATATTAGATGACTGTTCGTGATGCCTTGAACCAGGCTTTGGAGGAAGAGTTGACCCGTGATGAAAAGGTTTTCCTTCTTGGTGAAGAAGTTGCTCAATACAACGGTGCCTACAAGGTATATTGGGATAAGTCGGGAAAACATACGAAAAAGATTGGGGTCATTGAAATGTTTTCTTCCGACCATTCCGGTCTTTCATAGGTTACCAAGGGTCTTTTGGACAAGTTTGGCCCAAAGCGTGTTATTGACACTCCCATCACTGAAATCGGTTTTGCCGGTTTGGCTGTTGGTGCTGCCATGAGTGGTCTTAAGCCCATTTGTGAGTTCATGACCTTCAACTTTGCTATGCAGGTAAAGAAAAATGAAAATGACGTGTGGGATGTAATGCAAAAAAGGGGGAAGGATGATGCTAATAGGCTTTCTTTTTCTTTAGGCCATTGATCAAATCGTCAACTCTGCTGCCAAGACTCACTACATGTCCGGTGGTACCGTCACCGTCCCTATGGTCTTCCGTGGTCCTAATGGTGCTGCTGCTGGTGTTGCTGCCCAACACTCTCAATGCTATGCTGCTTGGTATGGCTCTGTTCCTGGTCTTAAGGTCATCTCCCCCTGGAACTCTGAAGACGCAAAGGGTCTTTTGAAGGCTGCTATTCGTGATCCCAACCCTGTTGTCTTCCTTGAAAACGAGCTTGAATATGGTGTCTCTTACCCCATGTCCGCTGAGGCTCTTTCTTCTGACTACGTCTTGCCTATTGGTAAGGCCAAGGTTGAGCGTGAGGGTAAGGATATCACCATTGTCTCCCACTCTCGCTCTGTTGGCTTCTCCATGAAGGCTGCTGAGGAATTGGCAAAGAGCGGTATCTCCGTTGAAGTTGTCAACTTGCGTTCCATTCGTCCTTTGGATGTCGATACCATTGTTGCCTCCGTCAAGAAGACCAACCGCCTTATCACTGTTGAAGGTGGCTGGGCTTCCTATGGTGTTGGTTCTGAAATCGCTGCTCAAGTCATGGAATGTAAGTATCACTTGTACAGCCTCACGCAATATGTATCATGTTGCTAATCCTTTATGTATTTAGCTGATGCCTTCGATTACTTGGATGCTCCTATGGTTCGTGTCGCTGGTGCCGACGTTCCTACCCCCTATGCTAAGAACTTGGAAGAATTTGCCTTCCCTGATGACAAGGTCATTGTTAAGACTGTTCGGTAAGTATCAAAGATGAGAGTGGTAAAAGTATATGGATGTAATACTGATATTGTATCATAGCAATGTCTTGGACAAGAAGATCGGTGCTTAAAGACACAACATCATCCCACGCATACAATCTTTCACACTTTCTCTTTTTGTGTTTCAATATCCTCACACCCTGTAATCCTTTCCTACATTCTTCCTTCATAAAACTTTTGAAGAGCAAATTGTGCATTCCAGAAAAGACTTTTAATTTACACAGAACTTTAATTGAATGGATGTTAGTCTATGCTTGATATTTGGATATGAGGATGAGGAGGAGATTTGGCATGGATGATGGATGGCATCAGCAGTCATCTCACGTGCTCATATGGCGGAATACATTATATCCGACGCGACACTAATGCGTGTACTTTTTACTGCTGTGATGATGAAATACTAGTAAACGATCAAACATGCGAAGCATCGTTGGGTTACTGCACAAAGAAAGCAAGCTAAATTACTGTTGTTGCATCCATTTACTGCATCAGCGCTCCCCAACTCAAACACAACGATACCTTTCACCTATGGCCATATGAAGTCAATAACAAATGGCGACCAATCACTATGCATTTTGGATAGTGATGGTGCATCGTTTATCACCCATGTTCTATCATGCAGGCTGAGCTCAGAGGAGACGCCAAAATGTGTGCGTGCGTGTGTATGATAAGATGGCGCAGACGCGATCAAGGCCAAATTTTATCTCTTTCTCTCTACTTTCTTCTTCCTTTCCAACCCTTGAACCATGGCGTCACAATCGCACCAAGTCTTCCCCTCAATTCTCGACAATGATCTTTACAAGTTCACCATGCAATTTGCTGTGTTGAAGCACTATCGAGACGCTCAAGTCGTGTATGAATTCACCAATCGAGACAAGGAATTGCAGTTGAATGTTGAAGCTGTGGAATGGCTCGAGAAGCAGATCAAGGGTATAGACGACAAGACATATTCTTTTTATTTGTCATATGCTAACATGAGCTATTGTAGATATGAATGAATTGGCTCTTACACCTGAAGAACGCGAGTATATTGGTTCAATGGACTTTTTCGACAAGGAGTATGCCGAATACCTGTTTCAATTCCGTTATCGACCTGAGGAGCAAGTGCACATGAAGTTTGATCCACAAACACGTGAGCTGGAGCTCAAAGTCACTGGTTTATGGCATGAGACGATCTTGTATGAGGTGCCATTGTTGGCCTTGATTTCGGAAGCTTATTTCAAGTTTGTTGACCGCGACTGGAACTACGATGGCCAATATCAGAATGCTACCGACAAGTGCATGAAGTTGCTCGAGAATGGATGCAAGTTTTCAGAATTTGGTACTCGCCGACGACGTGATTTCAAGACACATGATACGGTGATGCATGCCTTAAAGGAAGCTTCCGACAAGTACATGGCATCCACGGCTGAACCTAAAGGCGTTTTCACTGGTACTAGCAATGTCTTTTTCGCCAAAAAGTATGGCACACCAGCTATTGGCACAGTGGGTAAGTGATCATTTATGGGGTTTATCAGCCAATGGGGGATACCAATGGGATTTTTGTATATAGCACACGAGTTCTTTATGGCTATTTCAGCATTGGAAGGTGTGAAGCATGCGAATGCGATTGCATTGGAAAAGTGGTACGAGACCTACCATGGTGCATTGGGCGTTGCCTTGACCGATACCTACACTACGGATGTCTTCCTTCGAGATTTTGGCAAAGACCTTGCAAACAAATATGCAGCTGTGCGACAGGATTCGGGTGATCCCTCCGAGTTTGTTCATCACATTATCGCCCACTACAAGTCTCTCGGCATTGATCCAAAGTCCAAAGTGATTGTCTTTTCTGATGCATTGGATGTACCACGTGCTATCAAGTTATTGCATTTGACCCAAGAAGCTGGCATTGGTGCAAGCTTTGGTATCGGCACATCGCTTACCAACGACTTTAAAAAGGTCAGCAACCCCAATGAAAAGAGTCAGCCCATGAATATGGTTATCAAGATGTGGTATTGCAATGGAAAGCGTGTCATCAAGCTCAGTGACGACGTTCTCAAGCACAGCGCCAGCGATGATTTGGTCAATGAACTTAAGCAGCAGCTAGAGATTGCTTGAATTTGATATTCCAACATCCATGTTTACCTTTTTTTTTTGTTTTCTTGTACCTGTTCATGTATACACACCAATCATAGATAGTCGTTTCATATGTAGAAGATTTATCAAGATATGGGAATATCAGGAAGTTGATTGATTTGCAAAGGATTGGTCACATTACATTGTAGGATGGAGGGGTGTGTGTTATATGTAGTGGATATCATCATCACTTGGCAGTTAGCTGTGCTACCATGCACTTTGGATCAATAAACAGTGGTATTGGTTATGTTGCTTAATGTTGATCGAAGTACGGTAGTGAAGTCAAAATTGGGTTGCTCCGACGACTGCAGCAGCAATTGGGCCTTTTTCTTTTCACACATACCATGGCGGACGATCAGCAAGAGATTCACTTTGTAGATTACACTTCAGAGTTACAGCTACCGGCAGTGATACAACTCATTGAAAACGACCTTTCCGAACCATATTCGATATACACGTATCGCTACTTTATTCATAACTGGCCTAAACTATGCTTTCTGGTAACACTTGTGTGAAGAGAGCGGCGAGCAACGTTCTTCATTCTCTCTCTTATACACGCATGGCCATGACAGGCAATGGACGCGGATCGCTGTGTGGGTGTCATAATCTGCAAACTTGATCAACACAAGGACAGGAGCCGAGGCTATATCGCCATGTTGGCTGTTGCCAAAGAATATCGTAAGCGGGCCATTGGAACTACACTCGTTCAAAAAGCTATACGCGCCATGAAAGAGCAGGATGCGGATGAGGTATTATACTTAAAGAAGGGCTGTTTGTTGCAAGGAGGATGTGATATTAACAACATCAATAGGTTGTATTGGAGACCGAATATACCAATCAAGGCGCCCTTGCTTTATATCAACGACTTGGATTCATCAAGGATAAACGATTACATAGATATTATCTCAATGGGGTAGATGCATTTCGACTCAAGTTGTTTTGTAAAACAATGGTCAAGGATTAATACAATGAAGGGGTGTAGAAGAAAACAATATACACATGAAGGGTGTTTATAGCTGTATAAGGGGTTGTTGTGCTTGAGCAAACTCTGAGGAAACTTTGGCATCCTAAATGAAAAACCTTAGTATACATCGATGTATGGATGGATCCTTTTTCCCTTATAAGCTTACCGTGACCAGCTGGGATGCTAGGGTATACAATGTAAATGTGTCCTGAGGCAAACCTTTTGCTATCTCTTCCATTCTCTCGTGGAATATATCAAGCTTGGTCTTCAGTGGAACAGCTGGGTCTTCCATGACTTTTTCTTCCTCTGGTATATCTGTATCACCAATGACATCCATAATGGCTGTTGTAGATGTGCCGCTTCGTTGGGGCCGAGGTGGTAATCCTGGTGGTTGTTCTCGGCTAAGGAATCTTCGCAACCCATTGTAATACGAATCCGATCTTTCAAGCTCTCGTTGGTCTGCACGTTTAGCTCGCTCGCTCGTAACATCGTGGATGAATATCTTGATGATCTGGTCGGGGAAGCGATCATAAAGCATACGATAGCTAATAAAAAAGACCCATTAGAATTGAATCATCCCCTCAATACAAAAGAATCACTCACATTTCAGGATCGCGTTCACCAGAGTCACCGACAAGAATGAATTTACGTTTTGGAAAATCCTTAACAATGAAATCAATGTTAGCTATTAGTGGAGAGAGAGAGAAAGAAAAAGAGAAAGAATCATGTACCTGAATGATTTGGGGTATCACGTCTAGTTTGTGTTGTGCAGCCTTTCGTCGAATCAAATCACCTGTGCTAACAGCACGCAAATGCATACTTCCAGGAGGAAATTGTTGATCATGCAAAAACTCGCTTAGTGCTGGATACACCTGCCATGGTGAATTGGATACGTAATGCACATGAGCACCTTGCTCGACCCATTTACGATAGACCTCGGACATGCCAGGCACCTCGTCAGCTTTACGGAAGAACGTATTTTGGAGAATCGTATCCTTTCCATCAAGGATACCAGTAATCTTGATGGTGTCATCAATGTCCTATATGCAATGTCAAAAGATGAGACACTTTGAATCCTTGTCAGCTGACCACGCCCAGAAATTTGTTCCTATTTACCGAAATGATGGAGATGCCTTCGGGTTCGATCAAGTCTACATAGCCATCGTGATGCGTGGCATCTATAGCATAGAGTTCATGACGATGAGGATATGCCCAATGCAACAAAGAATGAAATGCATTTACCTAGTCTGTTGTCGAATGAAGCCTTTAGCCGAAGCATCTTTCGAGTTGCATCATGAAGAGTGTGAGAGAGATCGAGTGTCAGCAGATGCTCGAAACGTCCCGTGGGGCCCGAGTTAATCATGAAAGCCTTGAGTGCATCGGTTGCCTTGTCACGAATATGATGTAAACTAAAAGGATGTCGACTATGATTTGGCGGTGGTGGTGTTGATGTTGATGTAGTTGGTGGTGTATCATTTGTAATGACATTGTCGGGTAAAGAAGATGTTGATGATGAAGAAGAAGAAGATGAAGAAGAAGATGAATGATGTTGATAGATCAAAGCCCGTTCAACTGGAATGACATCGACGACTGATAAAAGAAGATCCACGCCTCGCATCGTTTGGCAACGAAATTGATTCAATAATCGAGCAAAATGCACATCCTCTGCCGAATTAGCGGAAAGACCGCCGTATGTCCGCCCTGCAGCTATTGTTGACATCATTGATGTAAGCTTTTGTTGCACGTTGCTATGCATGTCGTTATCATCATACGTACCTAATATCCAACGCTCAATACGACTTGAACCGGGCAAAGCAAATGTCCATCCTGCCAACCGTACACGCCATTTTGTTTGGTTGTTGTGATCAATTGTTTTACAGGCGTATGTCGGAAATAACATACAATGCGGTTTCCCACTGTCGGGTGTAATGGTGCCGGTGCTACTGCTATTGGATGGTTCCAAATCATTCATTGATTGAGTCCTCGTTCGAACGACACCGGGTCGAGAAGGCGGTAAAGAACGTGTCGATTCGGCTGTTGACCTTGGTTGACTTGATATAGAATCCGTGTCCTTTACGCTGGCTTGGTCATCGTTGTTTGCAGGTAGCGAATCATAGTACTTGTTGATCTCTTGCTTGATGACTTGACTAGTGGCACGTGCGAAAGAACGCAATCGTTCACGGCGACTCCCCGGTGCGCTCCTCAATGAAGAACTCGTGTATGATAATGGTGAGCGATCAGCCGTTGCTACTGAGTGATGTGGATTGCTGTTTGTAGCCATGGCGGGAACAAGGAAAAGAAAGGTGCCCGCCCCATGTTGTTGGTGAAACTCCAAATATAGGGCACATAATGCGTTCTAGTACTACTCTCCACAATGTCGGACATGGTCTATTTCCAATGCCATCACGCTTTCTCGTATGATAGTAGCCCCCCACCGAATCTCGATACTGTCATTCTTTAGATAGTGTGCAATTATACGTAATGAATACCCGATGTCATTGTTTATACCACTATTGGGCTTAAATGGGCTGAGCATTGTAGGCTGTGGATGTTGCTAAGCAATCAATGAGCGGACATCAGATTTCCCCCATCCTAAACAAAGACAATGATGTTGTTGCACCCAATGTTCAACCGCTGCCAACATCTTACGCGATGCTGTTAGATGTAAGTCTTAAGAATATGGCTGTCTACAGGGATGTGACATGAAAAGGCGGTTGCTATGATAGCTGCATATGTAATTTCGAGCGACCATGCGATGAAAGCCCATGGATCTGGAATGAGATGAAAATTCAATAACACAAGTCTTTGGAAAATCGTCCTTGTACTAATACACGTGATGCGTAGAAAAACTAAAAGTCAAATCATGGTATAGTAATCTGCCTATGCTATGTTGCGAAAGCGTATGTCAAGTATCACTGTACATGTTTACTTATAGCATGGTCGAGTCAACAAATGTTGGTTACCAGGATGTCTTTAAAGGTATATACAACGTTAGCTTGGACGTTTGCCCTGTTACGCTGCATCATGTACGTATTGCGTATGCTCATAGCGAACACGTGAGCCTCGTATTATTAGTTCTCACCGATATCAACGAACCCGAACACAAGCGTGTAGGATCATAGGTGTATCATTCCCACCCCTGTTTACCCATCATTACGCACATCTTCTTTATCCTCATCCCAAACAAATTAGCCCGGACAAGTAGGATAGACACTTTATCAAGCAACAAGATATAATAATAATGTACATGGGAGAAATAGATGGCGTGATCAACGGCTGTGTCAACTTGTTTATTCAACTGCAGCATTCTTTTCGGCACGAGCCTTGTTTCTAGCACGTCTGGCAGTCTTCTTTGCTCCTTGAATACCGCTTAAGACCTTCTCATCCCAATTAAAGCATTCGGAGCAAGCAACCTCCTTGTGGGCAGTGCAACCAGGCTTGCCATTAGAGAGACGCGTCCATTGATGGGTCACATTGAAGGGCTCACGGTCATCACCTTTCCATTTCTTTTCCAAAACCTGCGGGTCGACCTTCTCATGAAGCATGTCTTCCACGTTCATGTTGTTTATACCACGGTTGTCAGTGGGGCATTTTGGACACACCTCGAGACCATGACGTGCACAAAAGCTAAAACCATTCAAAGTAACATTGTCTTGATCCACACAGTTGTCTTGATCGATTTCCTTCTTTTCATTAGCAAATTGGCTATCCATTGGGCTTGAGGTGAACTTCTGAGGTCAGCAAAGAGAGATATAGAAATGTATAAAATGTGAAAGAAAAGTTAAAGAAGAAGATGGACAAGTAAAGCAGCCTTTTTAAAATGGAAATTTATTTGAAGCATGGTGTGGGAGCGGGGTCCTGTTACCTTGAACACACTCACACCACCCACACAAGCGTGTTGTTTTTGTTTTATTTTTCCTTTGGAACTCTGGATACCACATGACACCATGCGGTTTACTCACACGCATATAAAAGCCTTTTTCAGGCATCGTGTACTATCAAAGCGACAAGGGTTAGACAGCTTAATAGCATCGTCATGCTTATGATGGTGGAAGCTAAAATCAACTGGAGTTTCAAGATGGCCCAAGGTAGCGTGTTTGTAGACACAAAGAGCCAGGGTGTTGCAAAGAAAAAAAGAGGTGAGCCGCATAATAATAGTGGCGTGAGAAGATCTTGATGCAAGACGGTACACTTCCCTCACTACACGAATATGCATCATAATTCCCATCTAAAGAATTGGGACCTGAGACCGATGACTAGGATAACATAAAAAAAGTATGCTTCCCTTTCTGTACTGTCAAGGTGGTGATCGTCGTTTGTCGTTTGATTGTGCACAACTTTGATTGTGTTTCTTAGAAAGGAAAGAGTCGTCATTATCAAAATTCATGCAGACCAATAAACTTTCTCCGCTAAACCGGTTCAACAGCTGTTACATGAAAGCATTCTTACAAACTTTTAGCCGATCTTCTCCTCCTCCCCCCAATAGCAAAGTGAGCTATGGGATGATGATGCTTCTGATAATCTAGACTCGTAACTTTTTATAGGCATACGCCATACCGCTACTGACTTGGCTTGACCCACTGCCATGTATGCAGCAGCCTAACTCTAATCATCATCCATTCATCCATCGTTGACAGCAAGACACATTGATTTCTTGGAATGAGATTTGCAATCTCATATTATCACAAAAGGTGCTTTTGAATGCACTAGTCATTTTAGTTCTCACAAAAATGCCGCAGCTTGCTTGTAAAAATTATTGACACGGGGGTACAATAAGCATCACCTCTACCCTAGGCGGCGAGTGTGCCACCTTTTTGCCTTTGCTACTCAATCTTCTTTTGTTGTTGTTCATAGATCTATAAGAATGAATGCATTAATGAATGGTAATTGCTAAAAGCTAAAAGCTAATCTAAGCGTTTGAAGCACAAGGCATGGTAGCTGCAGGTTGGCGGTGTCGCTACTTGAAACGCATTTAAGATCATCATGCATCACGAACGCTCTCTTTCCATTTGACAACAATGAGCAAAATCCAATCCATCAAGTCACTGGCAGCGATCATGATCATTCCATAGAGAAAAATTTACATAGGAATGAAGGTGAAAGTTGATCTCGTAGCATTCCGTCTGACATAAGTCTTCATACACCACCACCAAATAACATGATGGGGGATGTGCCCAAAAAGGTGTACTGGACTTGGTCCTTCCCACTGTACCAATATGGGTACTTGCTGAAATATCAAGACTAATGTGATGGCGACATCAACAGTCAGCATGACAGCGACGGATAGAAGACTATCGTGTGCATTGGGTGTTGGCGGAAGCAGTGGAGGATGACATGAAGCAACCAGGGATCCATGTCAAGGTAATAGAAGATCATCGGCCAACACCGTTTTCTCCTTGTTGTGCATCTTACGTGCTCATTATCGATTAGGCGCACGTTGTAGATATTTCATTATGCGAAGAGGTTGCAATGCATGCATGGACAACGTTACACCTTGGTTCTTTGTTAAACAACCCAATCACCCTTTTCTCCTTGTTTGTGATCACAAAAGCACCCACTCCCACTATGTGGATAAACCAGGATGTTGTTGCCCATCATTGGATTCACCCGTCTCTTTCCTCGATTATACCTCTTTGATTGCTGACACCCTCAAGAACCCTTGGTAAGGATCACGATAGGTTTCCTCATTATGACCGATGTGTGAACTCATATCCGTGGTGATCTTGAACGCCTCATTGTTATCATTGCGATACTTAGCTCTTTTATTAAGGTAGTAAAGCCTAGTCATCTTGCATCGTGGAGCACGTAATCACACTCTTTTTTGAAGTAGCTATGTAGCTATTGCAAATGCCAAGTTGGATTAGCTGGCACTTTCTACTATTATGCGCATGGTGGTGAGATACATAATAACAGCCTCCAACAAGTACGTTCATAACGATGAAGCAGAGATATGGATCATAACATGTTATTTAAAGGTCACCATGGCAACGACCCAAAGGATGGCGTATATCCTGGAGACGAAGGCTCTTTATTTTTCTGTCGTGATTACCAAGCTGCTACGTACGTGCAATACTAGATGCGCCGAATCTTACGTTGGACACCACACCACACCTTACTACCGGCAGCAGCTCAAATAACTTTCATGGTAACATCCACTCTTCCAGAAACACGTCTACGAACGAGCATCCTCATTGTTGGGTATGTTTCCTCTGTGCGGGATATGGTGCCGCTTCAAAGCAAAACGCACGAGGCCCAATTCACTTGTTGGTTGTTGACGAGAGTAAAGAGGAAACATTGTAGCATTCAATCAAATAGCAAGTATCATTTTCATGTTACGAGCGATGCAGTAATACGCTTCTTTAATGCGTTGATGAATTGAACATAGTCTTCTAACTAGGCGTGCTGTCTCATATTTAAGTTGCCCGGGATGATTAGACTGCAACGGATGAATTATTAACTCCCATTCTTTCCCATCGCAAATGAAGGTATGTGTAACGTCCTCCAAGTTTGTGGGGTTGATTACCTATTCTTCGATAGCAATGCTGGACAATGCTGAATTCACTTCCAATGCAGGCAAGAAACGCGTGAGAGCAACACAGGCTTGCGAGCCTTGTAGGAAAAAGAAGGTATTTGACAGAGTACTCCTTTGGCAGTGGATCGCCCTAATCGCCACCTACATTCGGTTTAGATGAAATGCGACGGCACGAAGCCCATTTGCTTACACTGTCAAGAAGCTTCGATCGCGTGCGAATATTCTGAAAGTCGTAAACGAGGACCAAGGAAAGGCTATGTGCAAGTACTTGAGCAACGAATAGCCCAACTCGAACGTCGCCTGTCAAACGAGGAAGATTATGTCAGCAACAGCAACAACTCTGCTCTTCATCCACTATCCTCCTCATCCTCATCCTCATCATCTTCTATACACAACAAGACCGTTGATGGTATATAAAGACTATTTATACGATGGAAGTCCTTTTTGATTGACAACTTTCTATGATGTAGTACCACCTCTTTCTAACAAAGGAGGCCGTAACCCTCTTGGTGATGACAAGGACTTTTACCCTCCAATCAATATCGTGATCCACCTCGTCGACTTGTTCTTCAAGCATTTGAATTCGGTGTTCCCGCTCGTGCACAGGAAGACATTGAAACGTTCGATTCAAGATGGCACTGTATCTCGACCACTATTATGGGCTATTATGGCTATTGGCGCAAGGTATTCTATGCATAGTGGGCGAGCAGTAATGGAAGGTATTTAACTTGGTGTATCCAGGTTTTCGGATCATCCACTGTTGAAGGTCGATCCTCCTTATTGGGCCGGGGAACGGTTTGCAGCCAAGGCCTCATCGCTCGTTGATATCACTATGCTTGAACCAACTATACCGAATCTGCAGTTTTGGGGTATCATGGCATGTTTGGAATATGGTCGTGGATGTGGTGCGAGGTAGGACAACAAACCCATTGTTATTCAGTTTACACCATATGAAACAGAATAGTAGTAACCATAGTGATGTAGAGCATGGATGTATGGAGGCCTTGCGGTTAGGTAAGAGACACAAGCAATCATCATATACAAAGGAGGAAATCAGCCAATTAACAAAATGTCGTACTTGGAAAGGATGTGTCATGAGCTTGGATTGAACAAAGAAGAGACTTTAAGTAAGCCGATCAAGAGGAATGATGGAACAATCGACGCAGCTGCTATGGCTCTTAGGAGGCGTATTTTCTGGAGCTGCTTTGCATTGGACAAGTAGGTGTCCACGTTTTTTTGTCATACTTGTATTGATACCATGTATGCTTTAATAGATTTGCGAGTGCTGGTACAGGAAGGCCGCAATACTTTGGTGTTTCTGATTATGATGCAACCTTGCCTACTGTCGAAGAGAGCGTCTTGCTACTTGATCATTATCAATGCACGTCAATCAACGATACACAAGTGACCGACGATTCTTTGATGGACATTACTCGGCATTATTTGGAATTGGTCATGCTCTTTGGACAAGTCAACAGGTTCATAACACATATCAAGAGTGATGCATCATGCGAGAATGTCATATGGCCACCACCTGCTGCCGAGTTTTCAATGCTTGATGTTTGCTTACAAAAATGGAAAGCGGATCTTCCTGAGCGATTTCAATTCAACACAATGAACGTCAACAAGCACAAAGAAAATGCCAGCTTGAATTATTTGACAATGTGGCTATCTCCTCATGCGATTTGGTGTACAACAATGCTGATGATGCATCGTGGAAGCTTGGCTCACAATGAAGTTCGGCCTAATGACGCTCCTACACACGTATATCAAGCACTCCAGGCAAGCATCAGCACGTGCAAGTCTTGCATCGACGAAGCTATGGTTTTATTTGGATTGTTGCGGGAGCTATGCGGAAGAAATGTTTGGCCATACATGGGATATAGTGCTTATATATGCGCTACAGTCTTGATGACATCCACGTTTTCTCATGATTCGGAATCCTATGCAAAAAGCAGACACGGCTTGGAGGTGCTTTATGATATGATCGAGGTACGCCATCTTGAACGCTGTTCACTACACAAAAAAGTATACTAAGAAATTGGCATTTTGTATTATGGCTTGCTAGAATCTTCGACCGTATTGGCCCATGTGCGAACGATTGGCGCTCACTACCAAGGATCTTTTGTTGACACACACAAAGCTATATAGCAAGCACCATATTATACAGCCCAGGGATGCAGAAGACCATGACGACTATCCCGCTACAACAACATCAGCTGAATCATCGACGAATGAAGTAACTGGGCTCCAGGAAGATAGCACCATTCAAAGTAATCCTGCAACAATTGAGGATATTCAGCAGCACCTACAATCAGAGCTTGAGGCGGATTTTGGATTCTCATTACCACAACAACAATCAGCATTGCCTCTGCTTCAGGAGACACTAAATCACAGCAACGGTGATATCGATTTCAACAGCTTTGATTTCTTGTACGACAGCGCCCTTTTTGGTCAGATCATGCTAGACAACAACAATACTACTAGACCGACAACAACTACTCCATCAAGCAACGAAATACTCTCATCCATGATGATTTCGCAACATGAACCTTTCCTCTCCAATATCATACAGCATGATGCACCCGACATAAACCATACACCATAGCCACCCTTAACCTGCATGCGTCATTACATAGCTCATCTTCATCATATCCCATCCAATAAACAACTATGTTTCATATACTATTGTCGATTAGTGGTGATTATACATAGCCAGGTTATTGATCGATATGTATGTTGGGCATCATCGCTCTCGAATTTATTATCTTTGCAATACAAACATTCGACAATTAGCACTGCCTTTCGTCTATGGGCATGAGAACTAGACTCCTTATTAGTGAATGTAATGATAATGTGAAAGAAGAACAAAAGGAACTTGACATGACGTTGTAAGTGATCCAATCTCGCTTTCCCTTCAAATTCCTATTCCTCTTTCAATACAGCGACCAACCAAGTGATCCACATCTTGCCCATATGAGCTGAGATGATACCCCAGGTGTTACGATGAATCCAATCTTCATTCAATGAAAAGTGGAATAGCTCATGGTAATGTGTATGCCTATAAAGTAATACTATGATAAAGGAACAGCATTGCAATTGAATAAGATATGGATGAATAGCATAAAGGTAATAAGGGTAATTGTGTCGTTGTATCCTTGGTTGCTGCTGTCATAAACATCCTTCATCCATGGTTGCAAAATAATAGCTGTTGCGTGCATTGACTCGAGTATTCCAATGTCATCCATGGCTGTGAAACACCGTTTGTTTGTCAATTCAATCCAATCCCACCCCATCCATCATCATCCTCGGCCGTATCCATGTGATATGATCCATCCTTCATGACGACGACGAGGAAAGTAACCAAAACGACATTGCAGGATCACCTATCATTGCACTTGATTCCATCCATCCATCCATCATAACCATTGCAAGAGCCTCTGTTACAGCTGTTGATATGTTTCCTTTTCCATCATCCTACTGTTGATCGATCTCTTTCTTGATCATCTTCTATTGTAGTTCAACGAGGTGAAGATTGCTTGTATTGCGGCGTACTTGCTTGCTGATATGGCATAAGCAGTTGGAATTCGTATGCGCCAAAGCAAGTTGCTGCATGTAAATAAAGCTGCTTCTATACAATGGCAATCTGATGTTCACGTAAAAAAAGGCTGCAAGATGGGGTTTTGCAAGTAACTTGAAGCAATGGAGCGAAGACCTTCCTAATAGCAGCTGGTGGCCACAGCTGACGTTGTCCTTTGCATGATATTGATGTGATATTGATTGTAATAAAAATAACCATGTCAGCAAGCCATAACAGTGTTCGTTCACTATACACAATCGCTAATTGATGAAGAAGGTACCATGTTCTTTTACGGTTGGTAGGGGGAGGTCTCATGTTGGTTGTACAAATTTAGGAGTCTATGTAGCTGCATAAACTAATCGATGCGCACAGATATAATAGACGCCAATCGCCATGACTGTAAGGCATGAGAACTTTGTCGAGGACTAATTGTCGTTATCGGTTCAAGTGTAAAGGATATTGTTAAGGCACACACTGTAACAAGCGGGGCGGCGTGGAGTGCACAAATCAGGAACAATGAAAGGAACCACCTTCTCCTACTCCCGCTTCACAACGATGCAAGGTAAGACCAACTCCATTTACACTCTCCACAACACTAACTGATGTCATTGCCTTCAATGCACACTGTCAATGGGTGAACAGGTGGTCAATGGTGACACATTCAGTTACAACAAGTACGTGCGCGATCTACCCATGACACAAGCTTCCAATTCCAATACAACATGTAAGTTCAATCGCTGCAATTCCTTTTATTGTTCAAGTCGAACATTGTGGTACTAAAGTACGCGTCTATGTTGGTGTTCTCTCGTTTGTACAAGGTCCAATGAGGCGTTGCGTCCATTCCTTCCAGAGTTGTTCACAATGAGGTTCTCAACACGTCTTTGCATTGCCTCTTTTGGGTATGCTGACAACAATAGCGTGTGGATTGGTTTTACTTGTTATCTCACATTGCGTTTATGGTAGGTTGAACATGTTGGATGATGGTACCTTTGGCAGCAACAAGTTACGGATCTCAAAGCAAGAATGCTGTATGGTTGGCTCAATGGTATGCATGGTATTGGATCTACAAAGCAAAACCTGTGAATTAACGGGACTTACAGTGAAACAGCAGCAAGACAATATGGATGACATGGAGATACGGCTTTATTTGAGGCAATGATGCTATTGAGGAATACCACAAGGTAAAGTGTCCATTATGGAATTTGTCCCCTCAAGTGTGCTTATGAAAGAAATATTAGGTCAGGCTCTGGTTGGGCGATTATTTTGATCAATCAGCACGTCGAGGATGTCATTGTATAGTACTGTGCTCTCCTGGGGAATTTTGGCCCGGAAACAGTGTGACTCAAGATGCGATGGCAAGGCCAATTTGAAAAGGCATCCGCTGTGCACACGGCCTCCATCCAAGTACGGCTATTGATTTCCTTGCCTACAGAGAGAAGGTGGATCTCTTATGATGCCAATTTCAGGATCCAATGAGAGTATGGTACATATGGTGGCATACCTTGGCGCTGCAGGTTGATTATTGTATTGCCTTCGGATGGTGTATTTGGTTGCAATTCCTTGTGATCACCATGGTTCAGGGCGTCGTGTGCCTTCCTTACCGAGTTTTCCACAATGAGAGTTCTCAAGACGTCTTCACATTGCCTCTTTTGGGTATGCTGACAACAAAAGCGTGTGGATTGGGTTTGCTTCTTATCTCACATTGCGTTTATGGTAAGTGAACATGTTGGATGATGGTACCTCTGGCAGCAACAGGATATGGATCTCAAAGCAAGAATGCTGTATGGTTGGCTCAATGGTATGCGTGGTATTGGATCTACAAAGCAAAACCTGTTAATTAACGAGCCTTACAGTGAAACAGCAGCAAGACAATATGGATGACACGGAGATACGATTTTATTTGAGGCAATGATGCTATTGAGAAATACCACAAGGTAAGATGTTCATTATGATGGGATTGGTTGGATTCAAGTGGACTTACCAAACACCATACAGTGGCAGATCCTCTTTCGGCAATACTATTATTATCAAGGCTGCACGTCAAGGACGTCATTGTACTACACTTTCCTGTGGAGCTCTACATGTTGTGCCCGGGGACAGTGCGACTCGTGTTGCGCCCTCAGGGGTTTAAAAATGCATCCTCTGTTCGCACGGCTCCATCGTTTTACGGCTATTGATCTCCTTGCCTTTAGAGAGAAGATGGTATCTCTATTGATGCACTTCATCGCGTCGATCCACAGGAGAGTGCTGGTACTTTGATGTTTCTTTGACTGTGCGCTTTTATTATTACTTTACATCCTGATGGCCTATTTGGTTCCCAAGTCTGCGGGTGATGATTGCGTGATTCAGGTATGTAGGACTCTCATGCTTTTTGGAGACCTTTGCTGAAACGCCTACCATTATTTAGAGGGACCGTTGCAGAGAGCTACTTGTCTTTTGGTGCTTTGGAGTTTACAAGATCACAGCTATGATTGCTAAGTATTGTTGGATGAGTTTGGACAATCGTTTACCATGCAACTTTTATACGTAGGTGAATCATGTCAGCAATCGGGAAAAGTGCGTTTATCTCTTTGTGTCGTCAAATCTTTATTTCATTTCTGGTGGTTGGTTACCAAGGAACGGACGATGTCTCTGGAGAATGTCAGCCAATGAACGTCTTTTATGAGTGGATTGTATCAGCAACTAGCAACAGCATCCATATCGTTGGTTCCACATCAAGCTTTATCCCATCATCTGGTTCTCTCGTTATTGGCAATTCGGTGGGCATCCTGAAATGAAGGTCTCTTATCGATTGATCACATCAGCAGCAAGGAACAACTTGTATATCTTTGATATCAGCAACCTTTCTATCTCTTGGTGGTTCTGGTTATTGGCGATTCCTTTGATGGATCTCTACAACTATACGTGTCTTATGGATGGATCATGTCATCAACAAGCAATGAGAACCCGCGTTGACATCTTTGGTGTTACCAAGGTCATTTATGCATCTCCTCAAGGCATTCATCGTCAAGCTGCATTCGATTTCCAATGAAAAACGATTGCCATTCACATCGCTCTTTAGCCATATGTACGTCACTCCGCAGCTAGGATCTGGTTTGGGCTTTTCGATGCACAATGCTTTCTCGATTTGCATGTGGTCTTGGGCAGCAAGGATTGTCTCGTTGTCTCTCTTTGTAAGGGCTCTTCGGCATCATGTAAGTATGCTCTCTTTGGTGGTATTAATATTACTCAATCTTCTCACTGCATATGCCCATAAAGTATCGTTCCATCGCTTTCAAGCCGAGTGCCACCGTAGCGGGCCTTATCAACAAGCGGGCGATTGCAAAGAATCGGCTGGATTTGGATATCAGCAGGATTTCGTGCACATGGCTATCATTGGTAAATAGAGGATGATCCGTTTTTTTGGCTTCAATCCCCACCAACATCCTCTTTTATTATAGTTTGCGGACTATCCAGCATTCTACCTGTCTTCTGGTTCTTTGGGATTTTCATGGATGAAGCTGTCATTGAATGTCGACATGTTTTCGTGCGTATGGCTATCATTGGTACAAAGTGGACGATCCGTGTTTTGGCTCCAATACCAATCAACCTCCTCTTTTATTATAGTATGTTGGCTATTCAGCAAGCTACTTGTCTTCTGGTGCATTGGGATTTCTATGGATGCAGCTGTCATTGGATGCCAACATGTTGACGTGCATATGGCAATCATTGGTAAATGATGATCCGTTTTTTGCTACAACCCCAACCGACCTCCCCTTTTATTATAGTATGTGGGCTATTCAGCAAGTTACTTATCTTCTGGAGCATTGGGATTTCTATGGGTGCAGCTGTCATTGGATGTCAACGTGTTTTCGTCCATATGGATATCATTGGTAAATGGTGATCCGTTCGTTTCTTCAACGCCTGCTAACCTCCTCTTTTATTATAGTACGTTGGCTATTCAGGAAGCTACCTGTCTTCTGGTCCTTTGGAATTATCATGGATCATGCTGTCATTGGTAAATAGTGATCCATTCTTTCTTTCAACGCCTACTAATCTGCTATATTATTTCAGCTATTCAGCGAGCTATTTGTCTTGTGCCCTTTGGATTCTTGATGGATGATGCTGCTGTCATTGGGTGTCGACAGGGTTTCATTCATATGGCTACCATTGGTAATTGCTGTTCCATTCGTTCTACAACACTTGCCAACCTCCGCTTTTATCTTAGCATGTGGGCTATTCATCAAGCTACTTGTCGTTTGGTCCTTTGGGATTTTCATACATGAAGCTGGCATTGGTAAATAATGATCCATTCTTTCTTTCAATGCCTACTAACACCCTCTTTCATGTGGGTTATTCAGCGAGCTACTTATCTTGTTCCCTTTGGATTCTTGATGGATGCAGCTATCATTGGATGCTGACAGGGTTTTATTCATATGGCTTTCATTGGTAAATAGTGGATGACCCGTTTTTTGGCTCCAATCCCAACCAACCCTCTCTTTTATTATAGTATGCGGGCTATTCAGCAAGTTACCTATCTTTTGGTCCTTTGGAATATTCATGGATGCAGCTATCATTGCTAAGTATCGTTCTATGGGTTCGGGAAACTGTTTACCGTGCATCTTGTATTGGTGAATCATGTCAGGGTCAAAGAGCAACGTCTACAGCATCCTTGAGTGTCAGCTTGCCTTATTACATCGTTCGATGATTTTCGTTACTGTACCCTCTATTGGACACTTCCTTTTCTTTGCATCTGCAGCGGCAAGGCAACAAGTTCTATACCTTTTGGTGTCGCCAAGCTTTATCTCGCCTTATTGTGGTCCTAGTTGTTGACAACCCTTTCAATGGATAACCTGCTACGCATGCCTGTTATCGGTGGATCACATCAGCTACAAGCAAGAAGCAGCAATCAGCAACAAAGCCCACATCTTTAGTGTCAATAACATTTACTTGATCCTCTGGTGGTTCTCGTTATTGGCCAATTGATTTCAAGAGTATTCTGCAGCGCATGTCGTATCTTATGGATGTATCACATCGGCAACAGGCAACAATGTTACGTGACTTTTTGGTGCTATCAAGGTTTATCCCTCGCTCAAGGCATTCGACATCAAGTACATATCGCGCCCTTCCTTTGAAGAAAAGATTACGTATCAACATTGGTCATTGTATCGATATCGTTGCATCAAGGAAATGTGTTTTGGTACTAGGTGGCGTCAAACTTCATTGATTCTCATATGACTGGCTAAGTATTGTTACCATTACCTCAAAGATAAATTAGTGATATGCATTTTATAGGCCCATCATTCCATCAAGCTTTACTTTCGCATGCTCTTTGGTGCCATCAAAGTCTCTCCTTACAATTGTCAGTGGCGAAGCCTATTGAATTGAAAGACGAAGGTCAACATTTGAGTTTGGGTGGGTGTCTCAGAAGCAAGCAAGCGATCTTTATCTTATAGTTGTGGTTGTCAAGGATACCGTTTCCGTGGTTTTGGAAATTAGCTACCTGCAAGTCGTCTATGATTCGGTGGATCTTCAAAGCAATGTTTTTTATCGGTGCCATGGCGGACCTCATTCCTCAAGTACACCAAGCATTTTGTCAGCGAGCGGATCAAGATTATGCGCTGTGTCCTACTTCGAAATCCACTTGGTGACAAGACACTGCTAAATCAAGTAAAGTTGTTTGGGATACAATTCTATGGTATGATGGCGGGTTCTTCAAAAGGAGTTTTTCGGTTCAATCCAGCAACTCACATCATGCATCTTAGATCATCTACATGTATACGTATACACGTTGACGATGTCGTATCACGGAGAACAGATTTGCCGCGTATGATCCAGACGTTTTGGTAGGTCAAGGTATTGAGGAGCGCATCTTGCAAACAGGGTTTCTTCTTATCTCTACAGGCCCTGTTAATGGAAACGTCTCGGATACTAGGCATATTCTTTGCAAGTGAAGAAAGTGATCCCTCATCAGATAATTCGGAATGCCACTCACCACACAAACATCAAAGAAGATCTTCACAACGACTTTTCCCGTATATAATGTAATGTAGGATATTCATTATAAAAGTCAATGTATTATTTGTATCCAACAGCATCCCTTTTAATTACTTGTATTCTCTGTTATTGAAATCTTTCTAAATTGCTCTAATAACTCGTACATTGTGCCTTGATGCTTGGTCGACTTTTTCAATTCCCTTCGAGCTTCAATTTCTTGTTTAGACATGGTGGTGGTATTGGGCATGGTTTGTTGGCTGGTAGAGACGCTGCTTTCGTTGCTATTGGTGATAATGGATTGCATCATTTCATTCGATGTCATTTTTTGGGCTGGTAGCTCAGATGACTGGAGATCAATCAGCGTCATGTACACCATGTGACGATGGGCATGCGATTTGCGTAACTTGAGTGATACACGCACATGATCGAAAAGACTAAAGACGATAGGCTTTGGAAGGGTGGCAGCTGTTACAGTGATGGCAGTCGGCATATCCACTTGAATGTCACAATTGGGCAAGTACTCCTCATCTACATAATAGGTTTGAGTCTCAATCATCGCATGCAATGAAATAAAAGGTACTTACCATGCTCGCTATTGCCTGATTGAAGGGATAGGGGCACTGTAGTCTTTCCATCTCTACCAACAAGGAACACCGGTCCTTTCAAACCAAACCTATAGGATACGCTTGTCAACACCATGCTTGCATAGTCAATGACTCTTCCATTTACCTGGGTATAAACACAAAAAATCCATTCGATCTGATCTCTGCAATGACACCGGTCTCTATTAATGGACCATTGGCAGTCTATAGAAAAATACACATTAGTGATGCTGATGATAGATATAAATGTCGCTACATACATTCTGCAAGACGTAAAGGCTTTGGAAAAGTTCGGTGGAATCCTAAAAAAGAGAACTGTTACGATTACATGAAGCCACACCTTTTGCCATTGCTGTCATACCCTTTGTGCGAATTTCGATTCTCTCGATTTCAAATTAAGGTTGTCGCATATCTCGGAGACCTTGTTATCCTGAGTCATGCTTGAGATCTTGGTTCCACAATCGGCAAGCGCCACTTCATCATTGACACACATCAAAAGTTGCCTATGGGCGACGACATCTGCATATCGTCGAATAGGAGACTTGAGGATAGCGATGAGTTAGCAGGTATACGTAGCTAGTTGATGGAATCTGCTTACTGTAAAATGGGTATAGAAGTCGAGAGCAAGGCCATAGTGGAAGTATTGGTCAACCGGATAATGTCCAGAGGATATGTACCTATCGACCATCAATTAGCCGCAATGTCATCAACATCGATTGCCATTGTACCCACCCTGCTTCATTCATAGCGATTGTTGCCATTGTTTTCATCAAACGAGCGATTTCAGGGTCGTCGTGGCATTTGTCTGCGATATGTTGCAAAGACCTTGAGAGTGCCAAATTGGATGAAAAATCAATTGAGAAGCCCTGTTCACGATACCTTCCTTGATTAGTGATTTTTGATCTCGGCTTCATGGTTTAACTTACCCTGCTTTCTGCAGCCTTGACCAACATATCAAATTGACCCGAGTTAGGAGGAGGATGTCGTCGAAGAATAGCAGCGTCCTTGAAGCCATCATAAACACGCTTGCCGACATAAGCATTGGCCATAATCATTGCTTCAGCAACAAGTCCATGGATCTCTTTGGTGTCTTTGGGAAGTGCTAAAGCGGTTAAGGATCAACAAAATGAAGAACAATGCGTGATGTTGTGAAATCAAATGAAAAAGGATATTGATATCGGTAATCTTGTGGTTCTCTGTAATCTTGAACTTCACCTCGCTGCTCTCAAGTTCTAGTGCACCCTTGGATAATCGGTTTTGCTATATAACATTCGAGGGAATGAGTTATCTTCAGACATTAAAAGCGTATTGAACCTTACTCTCATGGCCCGGAGAATCGTCGCCAATTTTTGAATCGATGGGCGAAGTTTGTTGCCTAGCTCACGGCCTACATGGATCACGTGTTACATGAATCCTCTCGTCATTCAACTAAGCGGTGGTAACCTACTGAGATTGGTGGCAACGGGCTCCCCGTCAAGAAGCTGTTGTGCTTGGTCATATTCCATTTCACAGCTGGAGCGGATGATAGACCTCCCAAACCAAGTATTTTTCACCTCAAAAGTCTTGCTATCCATCGTCCACAATACCGATACTAGGAGCATTTCAGTCAAAAAACAATGAAAATGGTAAACAATGTGAACATCCACCGTACCAGCATAACGATCCACATTTTCTCTCAATGAGCATACTCTTTCGCTGAGCACTGAAGGAAGCATGTCGAAGCGACGGTCAGCTAAGTATACGGTTGTACCTCTATTATCGGGATTGTTAGATGAGATACCATCAAAAGATCATGAAAATGATTACCTGGCCCTTGCTTCAAGATCCGTCAATGAATTCTCCTTTACGAAGTAGCTGACATCGGCAATATGGACACCAAGCTCAATAAGGCCATTCCCCAAATCACGAGCCGACAATGCATCTAAAACGAACGTGGTATGTAAGCCTACAGCTCGTCCAGCCAAATCACTCAGCCACACATACCATCAATATCCTGGCAATTGGGTGGATCGATACTACATTGAAGGTATGTATGATTAGCAACCAATCGCTAACTGCTGACGCGGAGCTCTAATGCATGTACCTGAATACTGTCAAGGATCGCAAATCTTTTCTTCTCGCAAGCTCTTTCTATATCCAGGGGGTATTTAATCACACATGAAAACGATACATTGGGTATACAAATTACCTCTTCAGGTTGCCATGGTCTACCTGGCTCATCCAATGGCATTTCTTTCAGCGATGCTTCACTAAAGCCTTGTGATGCTTGGGAAACCGATATACCATGCTCGACAAGAATAGCTGACACCTCCGTATCCAGTTGGTGAATAGGGCCTAAGTAATCAAGTATTGGTATTTGATTTCCTGATCAGCCATAACAACATTCTTTACATACCAAGGGAACGCACATAATGGCCATTGGGATATTGTGATGAAACGGGCCTAGAGCAATCACGTGTTTGAAAAAAGGAACCACCATGGATGAATGAAAAAGAAGCCTACTTACCAGCTGTCGATCCTCACCACAATGCGTTGATTCTGGATCATCTTGACATCATGATGCCGAATCCGAATTTTGGGAATTGCAGAGTCCAATGGAATAGCTAGATGGAAAGAACCACCTTCTGGAGTATCCTCTTGAATGGTTGCCACGTAAGAACGCCAATTGCGGTTCAAGATGCCAATCACACGACCGGTGGGTCTCATGCTTTGAGTATTGGTGGTGAGTCGCATTTCTTCGTATTCTATCAATCCATACAAGCATTAGCAGGGATGTAGATCTGATGAAGCTTGTGTACGTGTAACGTGAAAGGTTATATTACCATCTTCGGCACTGCCACCACCATAAGCAATCGTATTTGGGGCTGTTGTCCAATTGTTTTCAGATAGCAATTCCACGACCACCAGATCTCCATGAACTAAACAAAGGAAACGGTTTTAGTTGTCAACAAAAGAAAGGTATTAAATGAAAGATGCAAGGACATGCATACAAGTGCATGAATAAGTTACCTGCACGATTCACATTCTCTGGTCCAACAATGAGAATGTCTTTATCCAGTTGACTTCCACCATTCACATATCCAGAATCCTTGGTACCACGACATTTGAGTATTCCAGAAAAGTAACGAGAAGATTTGATGCCTGCTTCTAATTCTTCCATAGCTTTGTACTAATACAGAAAATCAAAATCACATGATGATATGGGGGGTGGAGATGTGGAAGATTAAGACTTACCTCTGTGTATCCAGACACGGCTGGTTCCGATTTGTTTTTGTTAGATGACATTTTGATGCGCTCAAGATCGTCCTCCAAAACAGCTTCGGCAAGAACATGGACCAAACTTTGAAGGAGTGAATGATCAGGCCAATATTGATCAATGTACTGTTTCATGGTGCGTACGGAGACAAGGTTGTGTGGTGATGATGATGATGATGATGATGAAGCCTCATAGTCGGATTGATGAAACACTTCCGATAACAGGACAATGGGCTTTCCGAGGTGCCGACTGTACCAGTTGGCCATGCTGCATAATGCCCGCCAATCACGTTTCGTAACCGTTTCACCTGGGAGCCGTGCAATTCGGGTCGCTGCAAAGATTTCATTGTAAAACACCACGCTGTTGTGTCTTGTGTCATTGATGATTTGACGCAATTTGCGATACGTCCGCAGCTTATCATGTTGTTGCAACTAGGATACAAAGATGATGAGTATGCGTACGCCATTAAATGTATATCAACTTATAGGTATTACCGAAGTCACGATGGTTTGGCTTAGGATGATTCCCGTGAACTCTTCATGCTCCAGGATCTCCAAATATCGCATCACAATCTAAAAGTGTAACAGCGTGAGATCATGGATAACTTGGGTGTACAAGGAGGTGCGTCGTCGGGGTGGGGGGGGGGTAAGAAGATGTATGCGACGTGTATGAAAGAGAAAGAGGCAACAAAGAACATACCGA